AAAAAAAGTGACTCTCCATCCAAACACCCTAGGTTAGACCAAAATCTGCAATTTGCACCCCAACGAAAAACGACGAACATCCCCGTCACTTTTTATGGGAGTCCTCCCGGGCCTTAAACAGCAATATCCTCGTGACATAGCTCTGTTAAGGTCTCGACTCGTGAGGTGAAGGTGGGTAAGGGTCGGGGCAAGGAAGTCAGTCAAGCTGTAGATTCTTATAAGTTACAAATATGTTTCTTAAAAAAAAAAACATTATGCCTTAACCATGAAAATTTGTTATATTAAGTAAATATCCATAATTTGTTTACCTTGAAATGATCGTGAAGTTTAGATAAAGGTTAACGAACAAATATGTAGTAAACCCAAGAAAAATCGTCTGTGAAGAAAGCAATACACAGGTTAGACTCGATCAAAGAGGCATGCAAGAATTCCGGCCCATTCACGTTACATTTGGTTGCTGGAATTCTTGGGCATTCTTCTTTACGTGTGACGTTTGTCATTATGATACAATTGACGTTAACTCCACTTTGATTTATAGCAATCGACAGACAGCGCCGAAATGTCGTATCAAGTAAGCTGGTCTTAACATATCTTTAAATGTAAAGTAGATTTGCGTTTTTTAGCCGCAGTAAAGTTCCTTTTGTAAAGTAATTGGCTATTATGTAATGGGAGCTCCGCCTTTGGGCTTTGCTAAATCCACATATTATGTCAAGCAGCCTTGAAATGGTAATGTCTCAAAACGTTCCTTGCGTGCATTTCATTTACCCCTCTCCCCCCCCCCCCCCCCCAACGTAAAATTATACACTCGGTTAGGAACTTCTCAAAAACGTGATAGTTTTTTGTGAGGAAGAAAATTATCACCCCCCGCCCCCCTCCCCAAAATTAAAAAACTGAATTGTATAAGTACTTACCTCGAGGCTAAACTTGCGAAAAAATGCTTGCCTGAAAAGGGTGGTGATGGTTCCTTGATAAAAATGTGGAGTACAATGCAAAGGAATCTTCTTATCGCCTGAATGAGATCAACAGTAAATCAGGTTGTTGCCTATAAAGGTGTGTTTTTGAGAGCGCAAAAATATAATCACTAATGTTCCTGCAGAAAACAGCCTTCGAAATATCATGGTAATGCTCTACTGTGGTAATGTGTAACTTCAAGTCAGTAATCGAGGACATTGTGTACGAATTGGACAAGTGACATGAATATCGAACAGCGCCCTTATCTGGCGAACTTTGATCTTAATCTTCAAGCTATAAGGTGGTTTACGAAAATACTTAATCAGGGATCAATCTTTTAAAAACAAAGAGTTTTGCGTGCGCGCAGTCCGTTAAGGGCAGACAATGAGTTCTTGCTTAAATAAAATCGTTCTTTCTTTTCTGCATTGCTACCCAGGCTTAAATAGCGTCTTTGTTAAGTGAAGTGTTAGGATGATTAGCTGGATTAGTTTCATTTTATTAAGTTAACTGCATGTTATAGACGTATTAAGTATTATGTATATGATGTGGTCATTCATTTTTATCCTTGGTATAAATTCCATTTTCCTTTTATTCCTTTATTTTTAGAATACATTGTTACATACACCAAAACAAAGGAAAATAAAACTTCAACCACAAAATAACGAAACTGAACCGCAACTTAAAAAAGTACTTTACTGTGCTCTCGAAAGTAATCGAACTTCAATGAAAATAAGCGTTATGAACTCCAAGAATGAGTTAAATTAGATTAATTCGTTGAGTGACAACTATTTCTAAGATCAACTCAGAGTGGGTTCGGTCAACGTTTGCTCAGTAAGAAAAACACCTGATAGTCTAACAAAACTGTACAGTAATTAGTACACAAGCAGATTGGAAATATGTTGCGCTGAACAAAGTTAATTCCATCGAGTGAATGCGATCAGCTCTTATCTGAGTAGATTACTTGCAACTCTTTCAGGACGTGTGTAAAAGAATTTTAACTATCATATGGTATTAATATACACAGTACTGAATGCGCGAACCATTTTAGGAACAAACATCGCTTAAGGAATTTATAGAAACCGGACTACTTATCGAAGACTTCCATCTTCAATACCAATCTAAATGAACAGGAGCCGCATGTCTGCGTCTAAAGCTCACAGTTTGTCTTTTGTACAGCACAACACCTCCCATGTTTTAAAACAGTAAAATTTCTTTACACTGCTTCTTACAATAAATGTTAAATACAACCGGAACATTGGAATCAAGTCCCGGGGGGTTCTCATCAAAGTTTTGTACGCCTTTCGTAAACTTTTTATTGACAAATGGTAGTCTTTCACATACCTAGCTTTGACCTATGCAGGCCCTTTAACTGCTGTAAATGCACTGTCCTTAAAATATGAATAAATCCCAAAACCAGAACCTTTTCCACAGCGATAAAATGTGTCTTTTAGCCCTTTTAGGCCCTTTTACCGACCTTAATGACAGATTTCCCTACCCTTTTCTGGCGGAGCCTCTCCGCATAGGTCATCATAGGAAGTACCCCCGGAAATCAAGTATATGGCATGTTTCAAGCCTATCGACTCTGTATAACGCCACATGGGGTAAATTGTTTGTTTTTTTCGCCCGGCTGAGGTAAACATCTCCGTTGTGTCCTTTCTTCCATGTGGGTAGGAAATGTTACCCTTAGGGCACCTTTACTGACAAATGCCCTGATTTCTGGCTTTGCCAGGATAATCTTTCGTTTTTATTACTTGCATTTAGAATAAAAGGCCAAATTATTCGGCGGGTTCGTCACCAAGGTGACTGGCGTCGAATTGTGTGAAATTATTTAGCCGAAAAGTGCACAATCGATATCGAATGTTAAGAGGAGTTTCTAAACAGTGTTAAGTATTACCATAGTGATGAAAAATAACAGTGACCAGTGATAAAATTGCAAATCAAAGTAGTGACTCTCTGGCCGGAGGGAGTGGATGAGGAGTTGGGGCGGGGGGGGGAGTAGGAGGAAAAGGCGATCGGAATATCAATGAGACATCCTCACATTGTCCTCACAGTCTCAATTGTATGTCAACGAAGATTTGCCTGCCCTAATTCGCACCGTCTTGGCTCGTTTTACAGAATCATCTCGCCAGTCTCACAAGCTGTATGATATGACTTGTTGTCAACACCAACAACAGCAAAACCTACAATAAAATAAAAACGATATCTTTTAATTAAATGGATCTTGCCTGAGAAGGTCCTCAGTGACTCAAGACACCCTCCAAGCAAAGTCCATAGAGTGCCTGGACGGAGTTAACCTTGACACAGGTTTATATTATCGTTGCAGACTACAGCACTACGAGAAGCACTGCCGCTACATTTCTTTCTTTCTATATCTTCAACCAACATTTCTACCCAGAAGTGACAGTTGATGTCACGCGCCTGTAAAACTGGAGAATGAGTAGTGACGTTTTCCAAACACTTTTACCTATCTATCTAGTACCCGAACAACTTACCGGCCATGAACTCACAAGAATTAATGACCTGAATAGGACATGAACTCAAATGAAAGAATTCAACTAATGTCTCCTTCGACGTAGAAGATTTACCTCACTACTTGTGAGTTTCTGAGTGCACCACTACGTTCACGAGTAAAACCCGATGAGTTAAGAGGTGCAACTATCAGTCATTGTGATCGCTTAAGAACTGGATATTTCAGTCTTCTTTCTTTCAAAAACAATCATCATTGACTGAAACGTTGTTGAGATTTCACTGATATTTCTGCTGACAGATTTTTATAATATCGTGCGTTAAGCGTCTCGGCCTTAGGGTTGAGGTCAAAAAGACTCCCGGGCTGCGATGATCGATGAGGCTTTACCATTTCTTGATCAAAAAATGTCGTATTATTGAACAGAAGGAGCTTCGCTCAAGGAGAAATCATTTTTGCACAATATTAATGAAAGGAGAGTAAATTTTAGCGGGACTTCTCAAAAGCTTTAATTTGAATAGCCGTAGCAATGGAATGTAGTGTGAGAGTCACATTGCCCCGTAAATAGCTGCAAATGATTGAAATTTAGACAGTATTAGATTTGAAGAATAAGAGGTCCATTGAACTTTTCATGAGTAGTCAACTTTCATGTATACATTTTTGCCAAAATTAATCATTGCATTGTTTTTTTTTTTTTAAAGAAAGCTTTATTGAAAAAACATCAGTTTCTTTTTTAAGCGATCAGTCAGGTGCGTTTTTCTGTACATTCCTCTGCCAAAATTTGATACTTGCTGTACTCCGTGTTATTAAGGAGGAAACGACACAAATTCCCTGAACGTTTTTTGGATAGTTGCTTTGGATCCACTGTTTGCGAGCTTTTGGCCCAAGGGTGCAAAAAAAAAAAATTCTACTCGAAAACTGACGGATTACTCGGTACTTTGTCGCGTTAAGTGTGATAATATTGTTGAGGAAAACGGATTTCATCTACAGGACGTCATTTGCACCTGGTTTACAACAAGCTGACTGACAGAAAGCGGCTGATTAAAAAGACATCTGGCCCCTGCTGTGACAGGCAAGGATCTAAGAATGAGGTTATGACCTCAAGTGAATAATGAAACAGTGCCTCTTAATACCGCAAATGCATTAACAGCATTTCGTTCATCAATCCACTCAAAAAGCCGAACCTGATGGCCGCGACAAGAGTGTAAACCTACTGATCCGCAATTGTGAAGGTCTAATCCAAGATAAGCCCAGGTTACAGTTGTGCGTACTGTTTTTGCTGTGTCGTGAGAAACCTCCTGTCAAGGTTAGTACGTACATTTTTGAGTCTCTGAAAAATCCTATACGCCAATGTGCCAGTATGCCGTCAATTAACTAATTAATGGTCAGAGGATATATTCCATTTGTTGGCACGATTTTACAGCACGTATAAATAAATGACGGGGTTAGCTCGCCATAGGGTTTAGGGAAAGCCATGATAGAGCTCACAGTAGACGTCTCAAATTAGATTTCAGACGGTTCAAATCGAGCTAAATCGGATCTGAGGAGCCCCATCTCGACCTTTTATCAGCTCTTAGTGCGTGTTATGGACAGTTCTGGATTTCTTTCTCCCAAAGCAAACGCTTTTTCCATTGCGCACTTGATCGATAGAGCACAACTGGCAGACCTTGCGTTTTTCCAGCAGAATCCCAGCTATCACTGGAACTCCCAGGTTCTGATGCGTGAAATGGAAGGTAGAAGTGTACGTTTAACGCGCGCGCGCGAGATCTGCTGGCTTGTAACCCTGGTGTCATTGCTTTAAGTCCATATCATTCTCCATCAATCAATGAGTTCCACCACTTGGCATTTGCGTTCCCCTGCGGTTGTACCCTTCATCATCGTCTGTGATTTGTGATTTCTTTTTCACAGAACGCCTCATGAACGCAGGAACGGGTAAAAGAACGCCTTTGAGGAGAGCAGATAACCCGCTGATGCCTGATGATTCGGATGACTCCGGTGACAATGTTCACTCTCCAAATTCAAGTCCCCCAACGACCCAATCTTCTTGCTCGCAAGCCAATGTGAGGCCATTGTGTGCTGGGCTTATAAACGCAAGAGTAGATCTAGAGATGAAAAGCTTGTGGGACGAATTTCATGCTCTAGGCACCGAGATGATCGTAACCAAAGCTGGAAGGTCTGTAGTCCGTTTTTTTCGTTTGGGCTGCATTTGTTCTTTCTGACTAGACTGATCTCAATTTAGGTTTAGACCTCCTTGCTCTTACTCTGTTAATCCCTTAGTCCTTCATGTAAATATGCGTATTGTGACTCTCACAGAAAACTTTTTAAGCTGCGGCATTTTGGCATAGTCCTTTTTTCGTATTTTGTGACATGAAATTTAGATTTTTCGCTTTTGACTTTGGTCAGTTTTACCTGGAGTGGAAGCCTGATTTGATTGATCTGTTCAAAATTATACAAAATTGGCCATGTTTATATGGTTATCTCAATGGTTTTATTTTTATTCAATAGATCGAAAAGATGTGTGGTTTTCTTTGAACACATATCAAATTAAAGTTTCCGTGATTTTTCCGTCTCTGAAGCCTTATCCAGGTTACAACCGCAGGGAAATTAGTTATTTGGATTCATTTGCTACTTGTTTGAGAAGCATAAACAGGAAACCAAAATCTTGTAGATAAGGTACGCGTGATTTAAGACTTTCAAGGCGGATACATAGAAGTGTAGACACTTCTTTCAATGTTGCGTGTAGCAAGAAGCTATAAATCAGGCAAAAAATTTTACCCTCCTACTTCTGATTTCATCAGTACTCTGGGATCAAAAACCATATGAAATTCCATATCACAGAGAGCTTAAAGACAAATACTGCCACATGGAAGGTCTATTAAGAAGCTCATTAACACGCCTGCCCAGTATTTTGTCGAAACAAAAAAAACTCGAAACTCCGAACTGTCTTTGGAGCACTAGAGATTGATTGAAATTTCTTTGGTTGATTGAAATATCTTAAGAATTGTGTAAAATACCTTAATTTCCATTGTTGTCTGCAAACTTACACATAATACCAGGCGAAGACTCGTTTTTGTGTCGCAAAACTCAAACTGAGTTGGAAGTGTGTTTATAGTAGTACCATCATAATTTACTACACCAGCAGGAAAAGATCACAACACGAAACGGAAAAGCAAGTATTTTTGACCTTATATTTATTCATTTACCGAAAATTCAATCCTCGATCTTGGGTACTAACTAATTTCTTTGACTGTTCTGAAAGGTCAAAATCATTCAAGCAATACTACGTTACTGAGCTCTTGAACGAGGTCATAATAACTTTTGTCTCAGCAAAAAAAACGATCTCGATGCCATTGTTGATATCAAGCTATTCAATAGGTCTTTCTTATGACGTCAAGTATTAGTATAGGTTCTGGCTTTGAGGCTTTGGTGCGTGTAAGTATGACCATTGGAATCAAAGCTACTTTGTAGTAATTTCCTGTGGTGTTTCTCTATGATGATGTACTTGATGGTTTCAAACTTTAGAGTATGGCCACTTACATGACAGCTAAAAGCAGCGTTCTCCTGTTGTACTGTTCATTATGCTGTACAAGGTGGCTCTAACTCTACTTTGCAGATGAAATTCTGAAGTCTAATTGTTATAATGAAACTAATTAAGCAGTGCTTTCCTGTGGTTGGTTTTGTTTTTCTGAAAAAGGTAGTTCAGGCTTTGGAGATTGCGGGTGAAATCCTAAAAAAAATTATGAAAGCAGTACCTGCAGTCCTGAGATTGTGGGTGCAATCCCGTAAAAAAGAAATGAAAGGAGTACTTTCAGCCCTGTGCTGCATGTTCGAATTAGTGGATGAAATCATTATAAATCTCTCATTCTCTGTAGTAACATTTAATAGTATGTTACTGTGTAGATTTGGAACATCTTTGTTTTGTCAAGTTGGAACAAAAGAGTCAAATAAGGTGAAGTTAAACGGGCGAGAAAAAATTCATATTCATTTAGGAATCTTATTAACTGTACTAACATGCAAACATTTCAACTGCAAGCAATCTCAGTTCTAAAGCCTCATTAACACCAAAGCGTAAACACGTTTTAAACTAAAAGCTGAAGAGTTAAACATTGTTTAAATTTGTTTCCTTGTGAAATGCTGCTTGCTGTAGTTTTATCGATGGCAAATGTAGTGCAATTATGTAACATTTAAAAGTTAATTTGAATTCTGTGTAAAAAGCCGGTGTACTAGTTTTTCATTACTGTTTTTCACTTTTTTAAAACCGAGTTTAAACATGTTATAGTTGGTGTGAATATTAAAAACGCAGTCGATTCTCGTTGGGGTTAGACTGTTCTTGAAAAGTGACGGTAAGACGCGGTACATCTAAACGATCTCACGAAAAAATAGGGGACTGTGAACAGTCTACGTGGGGGTTGCCCCTCCGTGTTGGCGGGATACTGCGAAGAGCCGTGCCAGCGGTGCACCAATACTGACTCGAACTGGGCGTTTAATCTCTCCAGTTGGGACTGTAATTGGTGCATCTCGTAGTAGCAGAGAACACTATTGAGAACTACAATTCCTGTCGGCAGATTTCTGAGGTGCAAGTTCTTATCGAACTGAAATGACTCTCTTAACAAAGCGTTTTCTAGCAGAGTTCTTATACTTCAGTCGTTGATTGTTCCAGTGAGCTTTTGTATGTGACCAAAAACCAAAATGTGGCTATATTTCTTTACCCAAGCATGACCAAAGGTTTTGAGTACGTTTTTCATGCATTACTAATTGCTACATTTGAATTGTGATGCTCAAACATTTTTCACTGGAAAAACTGGAATGCTAAAAGTTAACCATTTTTTTTAAAACTTCCATGATAGACGTTGTAACTATTATACTGACTACTCTAGGTCTAATAAAAGAATAACACAATCAGTCTTAGTGATTAATACCTCGATGCGCCCACGGTATTCCCCATCCCATCGGCTGGGGAGTACTACGGGTGCATCGAGACACCCAGGGCTCGCTGAAGGCTGAGCCTAAAGAGGTGGTTGATTATGTTAATTCTTTTAAATCCCGTTAGGCGCATGTTTCCAACGTTCCAGGTGCGTCTGCAAGGTTTGGATCCCTCGTCCAAGTACATTCTTATGATGGACTTTGTCCCAGTGGATGACAAACGTTATAGATACGCGTTCCACAGTTCCAAATGGCTGGTAGCGGGTAAAGCAGACTCCAGTGTACCCGGGAGAGTACACATTCATCCCGACTCTCCCTGTACTGGACAGCAATGGATGAAACAAATCGTTTCTTTTGACAAACTTAAACTCACAAACAACCTGATGGACGACAATGGGCATGTATGTTGTCAATCATAATTTAATTAAAAGAAATAAGTTAGAAGAAACAAACATTTTTTATCAGTCTTTTACCTTTTATGCTGTGTTAAAAGGCGGAAATTTAATGATAGCAAACACCGTTGCTTCTTAATTTTCTGATGGTTGTCGGTAGAGAGTGCAGGTTACTCAGCCACCTTTATGCTTACATATTTGTCCAGGCCAGTTTGAAAATAACACTTTCCAGAATTCGCCAAATCTCGAAATCGTAATAAACTAAAGCAAATATTGACCAAAATATACTCTGCGTTTACAATAGACCTCTTTAGCTTGTTTGTTTTTGTTTTCCCAATAGGGGTCCCGGGGGAACTTGTCCCTTTGTTTTTTTCATAAAATATGCGCAGATATGCACTTGAATTAGACAAAATTTGAAAGAAACAGTTTCTTTAGAGTAGCCGATCACATGACCTGAATTGGGGAAACAGAACTTACAAGCTAAAGATCACAGGTCTATTGTTGAGACACCTTATTCGACCTTATATCTATCAGTCTGCATAAATACAATAAGTACAACAAAAATAGATTGAAATAAATAAAGATATTTTACAACAATTAGTGGCGAGGAAACCTCAATGAAACCACAGCTTATACAACTTGCATAAGGTTTTCTCACAAAAGAGCCAAAAAAAGTAGGAATAAGAAAGCAAGAAGTGATGGTCTAAAACCAAATTTTTTAATCTTACTTTTATACGAGAAATCCTCTGATGAGGAATTTCCATAACGTTCTCTTGATTTCCGTTAAAGAGGGCTTTTACAGTGTCAGGAGCCGATTACTTTTTTCAAACCGGACGCATTTTACGCCTCTTAAGACTGCAGCTGCTTTTTCAGGAAATGCTTTGTTTTCTTTTGAATCAACAACATGCGGAAATTCTTTCAAACCGCAGTAGACTAATCATGAAAATTAGATTAATCCTTGGTTCCAACATGGATTCCTTTGAGTTGAATCTTACAGCCCTTTAAGGTCAAGTTAACTCTCTCAGTAGGCAGTATTTGGATGTAGGCGTTCCCTTTCTCATTTCTAAAAAACAAATAACTGAGTTTGATGCTCAAGCCCAAATTACCTCTTTTAAGACGTGACTTTTGGACAAATCACTGAGTTGTTGGCAATTATTAATATGCACTTTCCCTCACACTTTGATACAAAACATTCAATCAAATACGGATTTATTTTCTTGAAGATGAGCTTAAATTTTCCGGTTTCGTTTTTTATCTCCTTTGGAGCGAAATGATCGAGGATTATCGTATTAACCAGGGATCATGCCTCTCTTGTTAAATTGAACTGTTTACCACACAAGACTATAGCCACCACGCGAAGACCATCAGTAACTTTAATTCCGGGTGGGGGTCAGAAAGATGGGGAAGAGTACTGGCCGCAAAATTAAACCAATTAGCATTTCTCGGCGTAATCTTTCAGCTCTTGCCACAAGTTCCTAATTTTTTTTATTTTGTCTGAAAAGCGCCATTTTTACAGCGAGCCATTTTTTACAATCAAATATTCCTCTTGAAGCAGGACAAAACAAACCGCTCCATAGTCTTCCAGTGAATTGCCTTTCGCCAAACTGTAAAGTAGGATAGGAATCACCCTACATAAACGGAGAGATATCTCTGCAGTGAGTCTAGTTAAGGCCTCGCATTATTTGTCTTGCAGATTATCTTAAACTCAATGCACAAGTACCAGCCTCGATTCCACGTGATTTTGGACGAATCAGGGAAAGGCAATTCCAGGACTAGTCTTTATGAAATGAACAGAGACCATCTGCGCACGTTCATTTTCACTGAAACGCAGTTTATGGCTGTTACTGCTTATCAGAATCACATGGTATGTACTAGTGAATATACAGTTGAACCTCCATTAAGCGGTCAGTAACCAAAATCGCCAGTTGCACATCTCCCAAACTGCACCTTGTTTTCCCTCCCAAAATTTCCTTTAAGCTTTGCTTTCAATTTCTCTTGGGACGGCCTGTAATACCCAGGAGAAATGAAAAGCAAAAGAAATGAAAAATTGGGGGGGGAGGGGGGCAAGCAATTTGTGTTATGGGAAATCAGCGTGCAAATGGCCTCTATATAAAGCGGCCACCTCTATTAAGCAGTCAGAGATAAAAGGTAACGACTGATTTTGCCGGACCAGTGGTGCTGGTCCGGTTGTGTGTTTGTTTCAAAATAAAGTTATGTTTCTGTTAAGATCAGTCACGCAGAGAGAAGGATCAAAAATGTTGTCTATAGAGACCAAATTTTGACCCACAGAAATTTTCAAAGGATCGTTCTTGGGAAAAAAATTGTATAGAAAAAAACCGTGATATGGTCATTCAAAGACAGTGAATTTTAACCGAGCCTTTTTTTCTTAATGGGCGCATCAAATTAAGGCGTTTTGTTTCATTTGCCATCAATCAAAAAGTGTCCTTTTATATTAGACTTGCAATGTGATGTTTTATTAAAAATTAGATGACACTTCTATTTAAAAAAAAGAAAAAGATCATACACTGGGTATGATTGCAAGGGCGGGCTTGGTACAATTAAGGAAAAAATTTTAGAAAACCATAGAGCCAAACGTTTTTTTAGAGAGCCCATAAAATTCAGGTGTTGTCTTTCATTTACCATCATCAAAAAGTATCATTCTTACGTAAGACTTGCAATTTGATGTTTAATTAAAAAGAAAATCAGACGTGAGTATGATCACGAGGGAAGGCTAATTAATTTTGCAGGTATAATTTTTGTCTACGAACTTACCAATTGCAAAGAATGTTTAAAACCATCGAAACAAAATTTGCGCGTTAAAAAGGCTCTCTAACTACCCGAACTTCGACAGGAGCCATTCTGCCTTCGAACATTTCAACTACTCACTACTACTACTACTCGTAAGTTGGAAGATTGAAAGTGGAAGTGAAAGTGTCATAGAAAAAAGAAAAATTGGCAAGTCAATCAAGTGTAACCTGTTATAAAATTAAAATTTTGAAGGCATCGCCTCCTCGTGATTGGCACACACTGTATTATACCTTTACCCACCCTGCGAACAGTCTCCTTCGATCTTCCTAGATAAGTCGGGAATAGGATGCCAGAGCTTCCTCTTTCGTCTCTTCTTTCTTTTTTTTTCATGTCTTTCACTTCTTCTTTCCTGACTTATCTAGGAAAGATCGAAGCGATCCTGCTAGCAGTATAGCCTTAGCTCCACAGCTTTTTGTGCCACATCAAATTCATTGATTATTATACCAATGCCGGTCACCAATCGTTTCATTAGGCAGGTCTAGAAAAAATTCTTAAATGTTCACAAAGTGTTTTTAGTTTTTTGCTCTTGACACCCAGCACCTTCACAAACTCAGAGTCTCTAGAACTATCTTCGAAGCAAAGGCAAGGCACTACAGTCAATTAAAAAACAAACGACTTATATCAAGCGAATCAGACAAATTTAACTGGCAACGATCCATGTATTATCTTGTCAGGCATGTCTAGAATTATTGCCTCATTGCCTTCACTGCACAAAACTCGTTCCACCCGTTCTAGAAGGACCTGAGGTCAATATCCACATGCGGTACCCGTGGGTCGCCAAAAATTGTTTTTAAAGCCTATAAACAGGTCATTTGTAAAAGGAAGCCAATTGTATTAAAGTAATACTAGGTAAAATTAAGTTATATTTGATGGCTAAAATCTCAGTGTGGGGTGGAATTTCTTGCTAAAAACAGAACTTAGGTCAAGACATTACGCCTTTTTGCAAAGAAATGAGCGGTACTTTCAGTGACAAAAAGTTCAGTTTTACAAATTTCCGCGTTTTCTGGCTTTCCAAGCTAAATAGGTTTCATTGTTAAAATAAAATATCCAGATGGACAATCAGATTTTGCAGAATATCATTACTGATTTTTCGAACCTCCACTCCTGTCAGAAAAGCAGAAAACAAACTACGTCACCTAAAGCTCTCTCTCTTATGTGATAATTCAATTATCACTTGAGAATAACTGAATTCCTGTGCAAAGTCATATTACACAAGACTAAGTAATAAGGATGGAGTTTTTGTTTCATGTTTATAAGCTTAAGGGCTTAATACAGCTGATCTTTGTCCAGTGCCAAGAGAACACTTACCAGTGCCTAAGGGCAAAACGCGGTACTCAGTAAGCAAAACCGCAACCTGATGTTATTTGATGACTAAACGATTTTTAATCCTTTACCTCCCGTAGGGTTTAAATTTCTGAAATTTCCCCGTTTACACAGAGTTCAAAATAAAGACCTTTAGTAACAAAATACATTTAAATAGTAAAAGTCATTAGATATATTCCGTTTATAAAATAGCGCATATTTCATCTATAGACAATTTTATTAAATTTAACATTCTTTCTCCGGAGAAAAAAAATTCGTAATTATACAATGGAAAAGGTTAATCCGTCAATAGATTGAGGTAATTACGTAATTACATTCTTTTTAAACCCTGTTAGCCATATACTTATGGATTTCTCTGATTTTTAGCTTGGTATACAAAAGGACAAGAGTTCTTTATTCGGTCAAATTTACCGCCCATGTAGTTTTAACGTTTTCGGTATTTTAATTGAGATATCTAAAGTACATAACATTTTAATGTAGTTTTGGAAATATTTTTCATAACTATAGCCTTCCCTTCACGGAAGATCAAAAACTAAAAATGCATTGGACTTTGGCAAAAACGAGCACCGTTGTGTGATCTTCGGGCAAAATATTGCTAGCCTGCGTAGCATGGCGGTTTTGGTGATACAGTCAACTCTCTCTAAGACGGACACCTTTGGGACCTGCACTAAGTGTACGTCTTAGAGAGGTGTCCGACTTATAGAGAGTCAAATAAAGAGAGTATATAAAGAAAGGCAGGGACCAACTCTAAGTGTCCGTTTTACAGAGGTGTCCGTTAAGAGAGAGTCGACTGTAAACGCGGGCGACGGCAGAGAAACTGCGAGGAGATTGGGGCGGGAGCAGAGAGACGGTTTTTAAATATTTTTCTCACGGCTTCGCCGCTCAGTAGTGTCAGTATTGCTCCCGACAAAACCGCAATGCTACGTAGGCTAAATATTGCCTGCGTTTCAACCGGCCTACGCATTGTCTACATCATTTGTATAGAAGGTTTAAAGTGTCTGCGCAGTAGGCTCGGCAAAATATTGCTCTTAACTGAAATTCACAAACACGGAACTTGGACATTTTTCTATACATTTAAAAAGTTTGAAAATACACAGTCCCATGTTTATAGCTTCTGATTTTGTTGCCGCTGCTCAGTTGTCATTTTTTTGTTGCTTTGTTGTTGTTGTTTTTTCGCTTGCTAATTTTTACTTTCAAGTCTTAGCTGAATTTGCAATTTCTTAACACCCCTTCCTTAAAACAGTCATTATTTTTAACAGTAACATGTTCTGTGATGTCATTTTAGCCAGATAGATAAACACTTGACACCCCAGCGATTTTAAGTGGTCCTTCACACAAAGTAGTTCGTCTGTCCTTCCACGCGATAGCCAAATACTGTAAACGCTAAGTGGCTGATCCTACTTAAAAAATGGAAACATATCAGTTGTTACGAATTCTGCCGCAATCATAGTGCTAGGGCCAAAATAATAGTATAAATAAAAGCCAATATCATTTCGAGTTGTTAGCCTCAATTCCGTGGGTGAAGTCGCTGGAGCCAATTTTCGCAGAGGGCCTCGTTTTCCCGTTTAATTTGCTCCACTTTTATTGGAAGCAACCAAACAGAGCTAATGTAATCTACTGTTTGACCGTGCGTATCATCACGATTTAAGGCTTAAAACTAAGAATAGAATGGGGTTATTAACTAGGCCATTTCGAAAGAGGGGATTTGCCTTCACATCACTGTAAATCATTCCGATCTGTTTTTGCCCTAAAAATTTGGCGAGAAAAACGTAAATATTTTGGTCTAATTTAGCTCACAATGAGGGTTAATACAGTCCATGCAGTTACGTATGGCTTATTTGGACCCACGGGCTGAGCTGAAATGAGTCTCAGCGTGGGCTGCAATAGGCATTTGATGGGGCTGCTCTTGCTCAAATTGTGTCGAAATCGGAGGCTCAATCAGATTTCGTCCTGCACGGCTAAATTGGCACTTTGGGGCTTAAACATGCAGATCAGCCGTTTTAATTCCCTCTTCTTTTACGCCCAAGATATCACTGGCCTGGCCATTTTAAGCCGATAGAGCTGTAGTTTAGCCCTTCCGCTCAAAAAAATTTTAAAGTTCAAGATTTCAAAATCATGTCCTTTTGTAAAATGCAGAAAAAAATAGCATCACCATAGGTTTTTTTCCTGTGAGAACACAGATATGTGTTAATTTTCTCTATACCCGATTCTGGGAGTACAAAGTTTACAATGTAATCAGAGTAGTGCTGACAATTTTGTTTTAGATCACACAACTCAAGATTGCCAGCAATCCATTTGCCAAAGGATTTCGGGATTGTGATCCAGATGACTGGTGCGTGTTCTAAATTGTTGTAAAGAAAAATTCCTCGTTCTTAGTCTTGAGAAAAACTCTGACGGGACCGTTTTGACAAGATAGTAGGTAACTTGAGCAAAGGCGTTTTTGAGCGACGTACGTCAAATGGAAGAGGATTTTTTACATTCCTGAGCAGCGGTTTTGCCTAAATTTTCAGTTAAATCGTCTCTGAAGTGTAAAAAAACTAAGCAATACAAATTTTATAGCGTGAAGGCATGTTAAAAGGGAAACGTCCTCACTTCCTGTTAACGTGCATCTCTCAAAAACGCCATTGCTTAAGCTTCCTAGTCTAAGGGTGGTTACTTAAATATTTACAAAAGAGAGAACACCTTACATTTTGTTTTTTCAACCTCGTCCCCAGGGCTTTTCCCGTCAGTAAATGGGCGGGGCGGGAAATGGGAAAGGTCCTGAGGACGAAGTTGCCTCGCTTTTTTTATAACCAGGATGTCCGATGAGGCAATCCTTGCTTAGAATCTGTGCGTCGAGTTTGCTGAAAGTATGCGAAAAACTTAGAGTAGGGTCGTAGCTAGACTTTAAGTGCAGTAAAGACACTAGCTGTAAACAGAGAAGCCACGCCGGAGAACAGCCAGGTGGGGTCTGGGGGTGTGCCACCTAACTGTAAAACCGAGACGAGGCAATTGCTGAATTATTGAAGCTAGCTACGAATTGCAATCTCGCTAGGGCAACTAATTTTATTTAGTTTAGATCAGATTGAAACCTTAACCATGTTCACCGCTTTATGACTGGTTCTTAGTAATTGATAATGAACCTCTCTACCATGACAAGTAATCATGAAAAACAAAACCGAAACTTTTTTTATCGACATATCTTTTTCTTTTCTCACAAAACAGCGTAATGGAGGTCATGAAACAACTTGATCAGGGAGAAATAGCCGCGACAGCACGTGCCAGATTACATGGAGATATGATGCCTCAGAGAAATGATGTACAATTATCTAGACCCCAGGCCCCCCGACCAATGACGCCTGCCATGAACCCGGCATTTACTTATCAAGGTACTTGGAATGCTCGTACATTTCCTTCATTTAGAGTTCTTCGATAAAAACTGCTAACTCCCTAAATAGACCTTTTAGGTCTACTTTTGTTGTTAGTTGCTGGTTGGTGAGGTGTTTTTTATTATTATTATTCGTAGACTGTATTTCTGCCGCTCACTCACTTAGCTTTGGTTTTCCTCCTTGGGGGTGAGCGCGGGCTCATTTATCGGGCAGCTGCTTGCAATAGAGTAAAATGAAAGGCTGTAACCTGAAAAATTGATGTTTCTATACAAAAGCCGGACGAAAATGCTGCATAAAAGCTTTCTCTTTGGGGAGGTTATCGGAGAGACTCGAGAGAGACAGCAACAACAACAATATTGAACGTACATGTCATCCATAGCCAAGAAACTGGAAGTTTTTGATTTAGCAAAATATAGAAAACCAGCAACTAAATATTGACAAAAAACAAGTAATTTTCCAAAAAAGAAAAATTGAATCAAAAAAGTTAAAGTAGTCCAAGGGTCATCTCAGCTTTATGTCATCAGCTGAAGTATTGTTCATCTTTGAAGTACTATGGCTCCTAACGCAGACTAGTTTTGTGGATAACTTAGTTTATAATTGTTTGCCTTTATTTTCTAGGTCCATATGAGAACAGAGGAGCTCCTTTGTCTCACGTACCAAGAAACCTTCCCAACCCCTCCCCACCTGGGGGATACATTCCCATGATGCCCCAAATGATGAATCACGTGGGACCTAATCCAATGTCTCCAACAATGACAATGTCACCGACATCCCCGACGAGCCCCGGCTATGGCCAGCGTACTTACCAGTCACTGCGCATGCACCGAACGATGCCTTACCCAACTAGGGGAAGCAGATCGTCTTCAAGCGATGAAAGTTGCCAATAGAAAATTCAATGTTAATTAAAATCGAATTCAATCTGAAATTTCTTGGAAAGACTAACCATTTTTGTAGCGCTAAAATTGTACGTTTCTGTATATACAAATTCATGCTGACAACAACTTATACACTGCTTACAGTGGCAAAATCAGGTTTTCATTCGAAACGAATATTTTTATTATTGGTTTTTCACGTACATAAATCACCGACGACTCGTTTTACCAGGTGAAAAGTAAAATATTGTTTGAAATGCGTGCAAACGTATGTATTAAAAATAATTGACACTGAGACAGCCTTTTCGGCAAACGTTTTTTCTTTAGTAAGTGTTTTAAGCATTTTTAGACTAGTTCTTCAAAGCAAAAATCTCTCTATATGAACCGAATGGATGGTTTATCCTTTACAAGAAAGAATAAAGACCAACGGTACTGAACTTGCGCGCTATGGTCAAATTGCAGCACCGCTGCACGTGTCTAACTCTCAGACTGCTGTGCGCAACTTCTTGAACTTCTCGTGCAACTTCGCGCGCAAAAAAATATCTCCTATGTCTACTATCTGCAACATGCCTGCAACTTTTAATCTCCAGCCAATTAAATCTTCTCGTACAATTGGAAACTGCTGACCAAAAAAGTCACCGTAATGTATAACGGCGACGATGCGTTGCGCGTATAATGTCATACGAAATGTTGCAGTGTGCATGAGCCATGCCTAGTGAAACAGGTCGCGCTATTGCGGGAAAACTCGTATTCTGTACAGTACTTAAGCTTTAAGAGATTGAAACATTTAGCGAATGAAATACCTTGCGTCAGCTTTAACTTTAAAAACTTGAACTTCATTGTTCTCTCCCCCCGCATGCCTATGGGGCTTTTTAATTTGAAATGAAACAAATAATTCAAGGTAAGGATCCCAACTGGCCGGAGGCAAACAAGTTGGCTATTTCCAAGCCTGGTCTCGGATTTAAACTCGGTATAGCACTACCAAGAACAAATCCAGCTTGCAGTCAGGACGGGACTTGAACTCGGGGCCTCCGGATTACAAGTCCAGCGCTCCAACCGCTCGACCACAATTCTCATTTCTCCCCAGCCTAGTCCCCAGGCGTTTTCGGCTCAGTCATTCCGAGTCATTCCTGGACTCTACCAGGTTTTGACGTCACCAAGAGATACTCGCCGAGAACTCTCGCTTGCTCCCTCCCGGACTTCGGCGGACAACGGATCAAGAGAGACCGCCTAGGGACTTGGCTGATTTTTCCCTATAATTTCGTTGCCTAATCAGATTTGAAGGTAACGAAACTTATCGTTTATCATTCAAATTTAAACTACTAAAATATCTGAAGCAGAAGCTCCTGGTTTCGTCTAACATTCACCGCATTTTTCCTACATTTACTGTACCGCCGCCGCGTTTAATCGCAGTTTTCTCTTGTCTTTTAGTCTCTTCATGAGCTCATTTGTCTTCTCTGACCGTTCCTCTTCGTTCATTCTGTCCCATTCTTCAGCTTCAAGTTCCCGACCAAACAGTTCTCTCTCTGCTTCTCTGTACTGGTGAGAATTTCTATCCAACGCTTCTCTTGTAGCGACGTCAAGATTTGTCCGTTGTTCTTCAGTGCCGTGGGCCACTGCAAAAAATTCACCGTAAGAGCTTACAATCCAATTCAAAGTGGTATACACCCGGGCGCATACACAAAGAGGGGGAAAGCAATTTAGGACAGCATATACAGCAGGGCTTCACATGCATTTGAATTTCCATCCACCTCACCCTGCGCTCAGCCTCTTTTGATGAGTAATTGACCAAGATCAATGGAAAAACTAAATCTAAACTTGTCTGGCACAGAACTGATAATTTCCTAATTGAGAAAAGCTTTCAATATCCTCCATTACACCAAAAGACTGCAACTAGTTTCTAAAGAGTATTTAGTGTTGTGGGTGAGTGAGATCACTAAATGACGTAACACAAAAGATTGAAAAGACACTGAACCACCCTCGTACCCAGCGTCTTCGTTCCCCTTGACCAGCGGTCGGGAAACAGCGTCTCGTCAAGCCAGCATGCGCTGTAAGGGACGAAGACTCGTGGTAAACTCGAGGTACGAGATTAACACTGAACAATACCAACACCACAACACGACACAAAAGTGAACCAACAATGGTTTCTGCAACACAGAGAAACATTCATTTATATTACTTGGTACCAGTTCTCACCCAGATCCAAGCTGCGAAGTGTTCCCCCTATTAACGACCGTACCAGGTCCTCCGCCTCTTGGTGTGAACTCGAGGGTTCAGGGCTGGGCTCGCTAGGATGCGGAGTGTTAACCGACGGTGCAGCTGATGAAGACATACCCCTGGGAGATGGGGCCGATGTTCCACCCAATCTTGCAAGTTCGGCTTGCAGTCGCGCTATCTCGTCATCCTTTTCCTTCTCAACTGAAGCTCGTTCATTACGCTCACGTTCCAGTTCTCTCTGCAGCGCCGCTAACTGTTCCTTCTCCCGTTTCTTCGCCGTCTCAAATTCCCGTCTCATTTCTTGCTCTCGGTGCCGCATCTGTTCTTCTTCTTCTCTTCTCTTCCGGGCTTCTTCTCTTCGCTGCTCTGCGAGTTTCCTTCTTCTTTCTTCTTCTCGTTCTTCGCGAGTCTGCCGCCGATCTTCGACACGTTGTCGGCTGGGAGGCTCTGCACGAAACCACATAGACCACGGCTCCGCCGACCTACCAACCGCTTATACAAAAAGAAACAGAATGGGAGTTAAATGAAGATAAATAACAAGAATTAAAATCTTAAGACAAGATAAGACAAAATGGGGCGAATTGAATACGACGTACTTGCCACTGGATCCACCAGCGGTAATTCGGAACCGTGAACTTCTTCGGTGATTTGTCTTTTCCAATCTTCCATAAAATGGCGATCAATCTAAAGAATCCAGTCAGGAGCAAGATTAAAACCAGATGAGTCTACTTGGAGCTACGGCAGTTCACGTTAGTCACAGGTATTTCCCTCAAGTTTTGATAGGTTTTAAGAGAAGCCCTAGGCAAAACGTCGAAGTGAGTTAATAGGGCCATTTATACGAGGAAAAATAAGACGCGTCTTACATAAGACGCGTCTTAGCTAAGCCGCGTCTTATTTTAGACGAAATGTGCCGTTTATACGGAAAGTTCGCGTCTTATTTAAGACGCGTCTTATGTAAGACGCGTCTTATTTTTCCTCGTATAAATGGCCCTAATAAGTTCATGAAAAGTTCGACGTCGGGCTCAGTTAAGTTCGTCTGAATGAGTTTGGATCGTCCAACACGTTCTATCCGTCTGCTTCAGACAGATAGAACGTCTGAAGATCGTCTCCGGGACGTTGGTCTTCACACGCGACGAACTAAACTAATAAATTAAAAATTTGTATGATAACGTACATTTAGCCTCGTTGGGGAGAAAATTTATTACTGGCAGGCTAAAATTGCTTTTTGGACCTTTTTGGTCTGATTCAGTTGACTGGTTCGACGCGTCCGAAACTGTCCAAGGTTCGACGTCTGACCCAACAAACGATCTTAACTTAATTTAGGTTTAAACCAAATTAGAGTTTAGTTCTTCCCATGAAAAGTACGACGTTTGGCCTAAGCCTAATGGAAAAACAAAATTTGTGGGGATGGGATCAGATAATCAGAAAAAAAGATCAAACGCCTCAGACAAAATCAACCCGGCAACTTAAGCAGAATAGCCTGTAAGACGACTAGTAGCAAACCCTGACTAAAAGGACGCAAATTGCAATTTTTTTTCTTTTAATTGTTAGTAACTGGCTGAAAATGTGGCCAAAACAACTATGTTTTACGGGCAAGCAGATGGGGACATTTCATTGGTTTCAGCAAGAGCGAGCAATTCTCTTGTGTCCATGCAAAGGCATTTACACAGACCAGTTAGATCGATTTTGTCGCTTATTAGTTTTACAATTCAGTCTGCGGAGGCCAGAAAATAGTATTTATTATGTTTTGATGGTATCTACTTTATTTTTGTCATTAACGAACTGCGCAAACGCGTAACATATGCGCACACACACTGAGCAGTGTTTCCATTTTCACAAAAAAAGTACTCCAAAATGATACAAAAAATATACTGAGCGATGAAAACGCCGTTGCATAGGCCAAGTAAGGGAAATGCACGCTCTTTAAGGCTTCCAATTTCAGTGAGTCCATCGCGAGAGCACATGAAAAGAAGTACTGATTCACTTACCACAGTTTGAAAATCTCTTATTGTCAAATTTTTGCTCTCAGCGAGTAACATTTCCTCAACTTCTTTAGCCTTGAGAGAGATAAATGAATATGGCATTGTTAATTGTTTATAATGTAAGACTAGCTACAAGACTTGGATATAAGTAACTAACCTTAAATTCTTAAGTTGTATTCTTCATCAGGAGATGGAATAACCTTCCCCTTTTGAAAATTCCCTTTTGTTTCAACTCTTGCTTTGAGCACAACTGCATGCCATTAAGAGTTGAATGGCTGCTAAATTGCCCTGGCCATCTAAGGATCCAAATGCATTCCTTACAGAAGTTGAATTGGGATAATGTTTGGTGACATCAGTGTCCAAAATACGTTGTATTGTTTCAGTTGGAAATTTTTTCCCAACAGCACGTACTGTCATTGGTTACTACAAGGTCACATGACATCTAACAATGAAACTGTTTCCCGCCAAAATCTCTGAGAAGGCAACACCGTACAATTTATGACATTGGAGGATAACAGTAGACAGTGTGCTGTTCATGACCTATGAATGTTGACCAATTGCTGCCAGTACAGTGAGGTTTAATGAATTTCCAACCTCAAAATTTTCCAGCTAAATAACAAATCACTTAAAGACTGGTCCCTCGGGAACAGTCAATTTTGTTTCCCTTGAATCTCAATGTTTCACTCGGCGGAAACAAAATTAACTGTTTCCCTTGGGACCAGTAATTAAGTGTTTAATATTTAAGAGAATAACAACTTGCCAATATCCTTAAAGTGCTGCTCTAGCTTAGAATACAATTTTATTTAACTATGCCCAGGCTCCCTTAATCTACATACACAATTGATGGAATAATTCGCACTTACATTTCTGCATTTTAATATTTGATCTCTCAGCAATATAAGCAAGGCAGTAGAGAAAGTGGCAATGCAGTTAAAGGAAGGTAGCTTCATACTCAGTATATACTGATCCCAAATGTAACACACCACATCAAGAGACAGAAAACCTGCCATGTAAGAAAAGAAAAGATTTGAATCAATCCAGATGAGATTTACTTGGTTGTGTCCTTACAATAATTTTCAATTATAGTAATGGATCTCTTTATAGATACTCACCACTATATCATGCTTAAAAGTCAAGCTCTCTGTCCAGTACAGAAATGCTCATTAATTTGGTAGTAATAGTGTCAATAGTCTTGGATTTATATTCTAGTGACACAATGCAAATAACTGATGTGATAAGTTCCCTACCAGTTTAGGTTTTTTACAGAGAGGTGAAAGAAGGAATGCTCAAGACCTACCCTAATTGGCTATGTAACAAGCATTTTGTTGTATTACACAGCTGTACCAATTACATTATACAAGTAATCAACATTTCTTCATAATCAAGGTTAAATCATACACACCAACAAACATGCATCTTGCATATGAACGCAGGAGAGCAGCCAAACTTTCTCCTAAAGGAACAGTCTTATCTGCACACACAGAAATTGACCATTAATTAGCAATTGAAGTATTTTAAACTGTTCGCACAAAGCTAGAAACTGAACAACTGTCGTTAAAGGCAAGTCATTGACAAATTTTAATTTGCAGATGGTCTAGACTTTCATCACAGGACACCCACTTATTATAGACCTGGTGGACAGTTTATGCAGGCTCTTTGGGTTCCAGACTTATGGCTTTGAATGTATTACATAATGGTGGGTATACATAAAATCCCAAGTGCTTTGGTATAATAGTTTAAGCAGCTAGGGTACGGTACCTGGTGAAAGTAGTCTCTGTAAAGAGGAAAGAAGCTGTTTATCTTTTGCATCCAAAGCTGTAGTCATTTTGTTTCCATATTGCTTTTGAGCTGAAAAGAACTCCTAAAGGCAGCAGAATATAATGATGAATTAAACAATGGCCAAGTTACATTCTGGCTGATATGGTTAATTAAGACTGGTTTTCAGGGGCACCATTAAACATACTCTGCCTGGCATGTCTCACAGCCTGATATAGCTCTTGTGATATACAAGGTTATACCTGTCATAATGAATACAATTCCCTCAACAAATTGTTTTTATCCTTTATCACCTTTTGGCTGGCAAGGGTATAATGGACAAGAGCTTTTTTATTATGTGGATTATGTCTTCAAACTTTCTGTTTAACATACTCTCTCAGTTAATGAGTCTAAATGATCATTATTTATTGTTATAATTATTACTATTATTATTAACTCTGGATAAAAAATATACGCAGAGTCTTACATTAAGTAGCATGAGGTCAATACCTTGGATCTAGAATCTCTCATTAAGGGAGATCTACCGTCCATAAAGGTGAAGTAGACTTCAATAAAGCCTGCAATTTCCTCAGCATCAACTGGTTTATCACCGTCATCAGCAACTAGTGCTTTCAGAAAAGGCAACACTAACAAATAGTCTGTATCAGCCATTGCTGATGTGTGTTTCATTACAACGTGTCGGTAGGATAGGGCCGATTTCATGACAGCAAGCACAGCGGGGTGAGATACAAGTTCTCGTGGTGATGCTGACTCTAACGAAAGAAAAGCATGACACTTCTGACTTATTGCTGTATCGTGCGCGGAAATTGTCTCTTGTTTGTTTCTTAAAGTCTTTTCTAAATACTCTTGACGAACGATCGGGTTAGCTAGAAACATTTTCCATATTGCGTTTCGCAGGTCTTTTGGTAAAGGACGGTTTAAACAAGCAAACAGTTTGGTTCTCAAAGCTGGCCATCTTTGTAACAACTGAATGGATGCACTTGAGGCCTCTTGTAGAAGAAGTTCTGTCTTTGTCTGTTTATTTGATGGATCGACAACTTTTTGTGTTACTTTCTCGTTAAGATTTTGATCAAGAACTCTTGAAACCTTTCCTGTCAGATTTCGGTAGGAAGACCCATCGCGAACGAGCTTTGCTGCACGGTCAAGAAACATGATTTTCTCCGAATCGGTGAGATCGGAAAAGTAAGAAACATGGCTTTCCGTGAGCTGCTGTTGTACTGCATCGAAAAGTTCTGAGGTCAAGTCTTTCCACTCGCTTGATTTTACGATATCTTCTTTTGAAAGCAGTAACCAAGGGGGAAGCCTTGTTGTTGTCGACGCCATGTTGAAGGAGTGGCTACTAAGCAGTCGAGCCAGATATTTTATTTGTCAGCGGATTTTAAAATATTTGGCGCCATTTTGAATAACAACGATCTCGAGTTGCCAGTAAAAACGTGAAATTTATGGCGTTATGAGTGACCAGAATTGGGTGAAAAGGACACAGAGGCTGGGTTTTCTTTTTGGAAGAGTACAAGATGATTTCAGAAAACGCCAAAACAAGTTAAAATGCGCTGTGTGATTCCCGGGAGATCAGTGAAATGCAAGTACTCTGAAGTATCTGCTACTGCTCTGTTCGTGGACTGCAAGTTAAATTTAAGTTATAGCTTTTTCTTAGCTTCATTTCTATTTCTTTAGTGTTCGCAAAAGCTATCCACTGTTTGTCCAGGATTGGTGATGAGCTGTATCTAGAGGCTTTGTCTCAAGGGGTAAGCAATGAAAGAATGATCACCTCTCTCTACCAGTTGTGTGCTAGTGAGATCTGATATCATATGTACATGCAGACACCACTCCTAATGCAGGTAGCCCAATGTAATGTCCAGTACGGTCAAAGCATCTGTAGTCACCCACCCTTAAATGATGCCAATTGCTGTCAGTCACTTTCAAGGGCAGAGATGCCAATCTCTGGAGAACTAAAATGTTTACTGTCCATTGTGCAGTAACCACTTCCCCAAGATCAACCACCCCCCTTCCCCATTCCCCGCCTTGGTAAACACAAATTATCCCAGTTCTTAAAATTATAGCATAAGTGTGGCTTCGGATGTTATTTGACGTCTTACACGCAGTAAAGATCGTCAAAAATTGGTTTTAAGACTGGAATGATGATATAATCTTTGTTAGTGATGAAATAGAGGCCAGAATGTGGCAGAAACCATATTGTAAGAGGAAAGTGTATTCTTTAATTTAAGGGGTAAATCATAGGGCTTAAATCCAAACTAAAGCATGGAAAAACTCAAAAATTGATTTTATCAAGGAGATTTGGTAACCGGCATGGGAGATAGGGAGATTTGTGCTATGCCTAGGAGACTTCCAAAAGAGGTGGCATCTATGCAAGGGTCTGCCCTTGCATAGAAGTTTAATATGTTATTAGACTTGTATTTTAAAGTTATTATGCCGTCGATCGTATATGGTATATCAGTATGGGGGAGGCCTTACAAATAAGGAAGGTTTTAAGGCATTAGAAGCACTGCATTGTAGAGCTGCAAGAATTATCTTTGAGCTACCTTGGGAGATGTCTAATGCAGATGTTATCAAAAAGGCTAATTGGTCTTCTTTAGCCTTTATGTATAAAATTAGCTTAGCCAAGCTTATGTATAAAATCCACAATAACCTGACTCGAGACGCTATGTCAGCTATTATGAAGAACAATGATAACATCAAGCAATATCAACTTAGGAAGAAACTGAAAATTGATGTCCCTCGTTTTAACACCAACTACGTGAGGAACTCTGTAGCTCGTAGAGGAGCAATAGTTTGGAACACATTGGTTCCTCAACTTAATGACGATATAGACAATGTTAAGAAATATGGGATTATGGCAAGACGGTCAAAGGCTCTGCTACACTTAGATTTCGACTGTATCTCCCCTCAAACATTAACCAGAAGGGAGGAAGATTTTAAGTATAATTAGTGTTAATAATTAGTTGATACTGGATTACCACCTTGTACTTTAGAATTTTAAGCTTTTATCGTTTTAGACTTGTAAGTAGTAAGTAGCTATATAATTTTAGCTGGTGTATATCCTATTTATTTTCTAATTCATTAGTTATCTTATTTAATTATTTAGACAAGACCCCACAAGCGAAGCGTCGCTTTAAATACTTATCGTGTATAAATAAAGATTATTGATTGATTGATTGATTGCCCACGGGGAGTTTCTACCAGGAACAGGAGAGAGCATGCCCGTACTACTATGTGACTGCTAACATCTGGTGTAAAAATGTTATGTTTCGCTGGGCCGAATATCAGATGTTAGTGGTTTATGTACTAGGATTTATGCAACTGGCCCCAGGTCCTGTATCCACTTTTTTGAAGAAAGTCATTGTTTACTATTCTGAGTTGTGTGTACAATATGAGTACAGTCAACCCTCTCTAAGATGGACACCTTTGGGACCAGCACTAAGTGCCCGTATTAGAGAGGTGTCCGTCTTATAGAGAGTTCGTTTTACAGAGGTGTCCATTAAGAGAGAGTTGACTGTAGTACCAAGTTATCAGTGAGTTCGGTTGCATTTTACATACAGGAAGTGAACAGGGATATCACAGAATGAAGCCACAAAACCCAGTGTGGCTGTACTTTGTTTTCCTTCTCCGTTTGTTCCAGTAGCGGACAAGACCATGAGCAAGTGGTCATTGTAGTACCTATAGGTTAACAATAATTTTTTAATAAAAAGGAAAATGTTTAATCATTACCTTACAAGTGGTTACAGTTGCTTACAAAAAATTCATTCATAATGCTTTAACTTACAAACATGGGGAATCAACTATTTGTATTACTGTGACCCCCTCCCCTGGATAGCCCTCTGATCTGCCTGTTGTTCTTACATTAATTTCAGCTTGCTCTGAGAACTGTCAACTCATCTCGCTCTGCATATGCCTGTTTCCTCTTCAATGAAAGCTTTTTCATTAGTTATGATGATGGAGCAAATGATTTGTCAGAGGATTCACAAGGAGAAGACTTGCTCAAATGCAAGATTGCCATGAAGGTTAGTAAAATGTGAACCATGTTCTTTCCTTGATACAGTCACAGCTCTTGTAAGGGCCACAATAAAAAGACAGCAGCTCTACTTATGGCCACTTTGGCAAATGCTGTCTGAACTCTCCTCCAAAAAACCATCCCCTCAACACATCCAAACAGTACCAGCTGTACATTGTAGACACTTTTTCTGCTTGCCAAGGGTGTCTGCTAAAGAAAACTCAAACCATACATCTGATAAAAAACTCCATTATTTACTTTTAAGAAGTGGCAGATCCATCGAGTAAAGGAACGTCCTAATGACTGTAATGTAGGAGCTGCTCATAAGGCGTTTCCTTTTTGGTCGCAGAAAACAGTAACACATCATTGTTTATCATTATTTTGCATTGTTTCAAAGTTAGGGTATCGAATAAATGGCTTTTAGGGTTAGGAGAGCTGCTACATGATCCCCTTATGATAACAACATTTCTGTCATTTTACAGATAGAAATTTTAGAAAAAATATGTGTAATAATAATTATTACACATATTTTTTCTAAAATTTCTGCCTGTAAATTGACAGAAATATTGTTATCATAAGGGGGTCATGTAGCAGCTCTCCTTATATAGTGCATGTAGATGCTTGAAGTCTTTCAAAGATTTCTGAGAAATTGTGATGCTTCTGTTATAGCCTCGTTAATACACCACACTATTGCCTAATTAGATTTTAACGCAGTAAAACTTGCTGGTGAATGTGACTTGTGGAAATGACTCTTCATGAATTTTTGCCTCTGATTGGCAGTGCATGCACTCTTAAAGACAAGAGATAAAACAATGTTGTTGGATAAGGAACATACATGTATTGCAAAACCTTGTGAAGCTCAGGGGAGGGTAGCCCGTAAAAAAATGAATAATGAACAAACCCTACGCTATGCGTACCTATTTTTTTAACATTTAAACTTTTCTTTTTCAATTTCTAATGCCAGTCATGCCTGTCAGCCTTCAAATCTATGAATACATTAGAGAAAACAGTGGATCAGTGCAAGATAGATCTGAACATCAAGGAGGCCAGATTGGTATTCCTTCTCTACTGTAGACATGGTAATTTCATTTAACATAAATTGCAACCATAATCAAGGATAAACAAGTAAATACATTTACATATAATAAATTGTTTGAAAAGTTGTTAAGAAATGTATGAAAAGCAAACATTAGTTTTGGTCATTTTTTTGCCTTTGAGTTTTCTTGGGAATTAAATATTTTATTTCCTCCTCGAAGAATTTGAATCTCTTTAAATGTAACTTTGAATTCTTTTCTTTATTTTGTTTACTGAAAATAAGACTTTAATTGACTACACTCAGGGTTCTCATTAAGACAGAGACCCTGCCAACGAGCGACATGGCCCAAAACGTAGCGACAGCATGTAAAATGAAATCGCGACAACAGACAACCTCCCTCAGCCAAATTGTGACAGTGACGGCAAAGCCGACAACAGGTGACAAGCATTTATAAACACCGACACGAGACGTTTTAAAATTCAGATGGCCGAGATTGCAGCTTGGCAATCAAGTATTTTACGCTGTTTGAGGTTTTCACTCCCTCACTTTTCCCATTTTCTCCTAAAAGTAGACAGTTCATACCTCAAAGTAGCTGGTTGCCGGCACTTACTGAGAACCCTGACACTGACGCCTTCTATTTTTGGGATAACAGGGTCTGTTTTGGAATTCTTTTCTTTTGTCTAAAAAATAATGGTGTGTCAGAAAACTTATCTGAAAACTTTTGAGACCATCCTGCAGACTAGATAATATTAAAACATGTTATGACATTTGTTTATCATTTCCTTTTGTTTGAAATTCTGGCAGGGATCACAAAGACCTACAACTTAACATTTCAAGAATGTGAGACATTACAAGCTGTGTTCTCAAAAGATTTGTGTCCTAACTTCATGACTGCACAAGCAAGGTAAGAACTCAAGCAAACAGTGAGCTGGGAAAAGACTATTTAATAAGCTGGAGACTTGCCATATTTTGTGATGTAATTTTTTTTCTGGTAACTTTGGATCAATAAATATGTTTCCGGTAGCTTTTTTTTTAGATGGGTGGCTTTCATTACTGTAAAGCTGTGGAATTGGGACTAAGAAACAATAGAGAAGGTGAGAGAGGAGGGAGAAAACAAAAGATAAAAAATCAAAACTTTTATAGCCTGAATTTCAGAGGATTCCTTTGACTCGTTTTTACTCCCTCGTTAACATCTGAATCGATTGGCCGTCAATGCTGTCCAGTGATGTCACTACTCCTTTGCTTTGATTCATGCAAAAAGTAAAACCTGATTTTCAACTGGCAAACAAAGAAATGTCTGGAAATGTCTACATGATACAAAATAATTGTTTTACTCTTTTTGATCGTAATTGAAAGGACCCACAGTATACAGGAATAAAAGCTAACATCATGCTCTACTAAGGCTTGTAGAAATTTGTTTGCTTATGGCAAGATAAGATGGCTCGACTAGCTTTAAAGAGCTTTTTTTGGCAAATTCGCTAGGGCTACATGTACTGTACTTGTATAAAATTATATGCAGAAAATTAAATCTTCTCTCGTCCTCTAAGTTTTTGTTTAATCCTCTCTCTTCTTCCTCATCACACTATTTTCTTGTACTCACCTTCCCAGGAAACTAATACACTGTTTAGAGATTGTATAATGCATTGAAACATTGTGAAAACATTGAAACATGGGCACACATGTAACAATAACTCTTGCTTTTTCTTTCTGTCAGGATTCTTAATGATGCAGTGTACAATTTTCCAAATAATCAAGAGGAAATCACATTGGTGGTTTGTCCAGAGACTTTTAAAGTCAAGAACTATGTGGATGATGAACCTGGTGAGGGATGACTCTTAGTACTTAAAGTTTTAACTGTATAGATAGCGAAGGCTTGTAAGCGAGAGACCTTACTAAGAGGCAAGTCTTTTTTTAGTTAGGCACTTGCACAAGTTGAAAACCGTAGCTATTATCCTTACAGAGATAACATCAACACCTCCCTTAGTTGGGCATATCTTTAACATGGACCCTTTACCATGGTATACACCTCTCTGGGGAGATAAGTGTAAGTGTGACAGGGGTGTACACAGATGTTTTAGTAGGTGGGAGGTGGGGGGGAGTCGTACCAGTATGCCAGGGTCTTTTTGGAATATGGGGGAAAATATCCCCCTCTGCCCTCAGCTCTTGGAAATTTGGAAAACAAATGCAATATTGGTATTCATTATTCTTTTGATTAAAACTCTGTGAAAAACATACATCTAACGATTATCTTTTCTTTATTGGTGATTACAAAGATATTTTACCAGTACTGTATCTTCGTTCCTTAACACTGGGGTTGGCACACACACTAACCCCCCCAACCCTTACTCCCCCAGATATAAACCTGAAACCACGTTAGTGTGTGGCAAGTACTCTCACACTCCCCCACCCTAGGCCTTGCTCTCCTACCTCTCTATGTGTTGCACCTCCAAAATGAACACTTGGTGAAAACCTTCCAGATTCTAACCTGTCTACACTGTGTAGGTATAGTACCTGTGTTCAGAAAGGTACCATTTGAACATAGTACAAGTCATGCTACACATGAGTTTTACACCTTTGTGTTTTAGTTTTCAACATTTTAGTAATTTTATAAACAATATATTTTGCAGATTCAACTAAAATAATTCACACAGAAATGATGCTTGCCCCGGAGGAATTTGATAATTACCAAATAGGAGTTGACACAGATGTCACATTCTGCCTCAAGGAACTCAGGGTAGATATAATGTGCACGTAGTAAAATACATACCTTTGAAATTCTGAACAACAGGTACCAACTCAAATTAAGGGTAATTAACTTTTGAATTTTCTCTTCATATCACAGGCTATTTTGACATTTGCTGAGTTTTCAAGCCAACCTCTAAATGTACATTTTGAAACTGGTGGAAAGTAAGTGAGTTTAAGAATGCCTAGCTAGCTGCACTAAACCTCTGATGAAGGGTTGATGCTTGAAACATCAGCTTTAGAAACTTATTACTGTGGACAGCCTGGGTAGGCTGCTCAATAAATATTTTATTTGGAAAGGCTCTCCCCCAAGACCCACCTCTTACCTTTTTATATACCGTTTTGGACAAAAAAGGGTACACCTTTTGTGAACCTTCCATTGAAAATGGTACATGTACTGGGTTGTCAAAATGAGCCGGCAACCGGTGCTATCACCGGCTACTTGAAGGTTTTTGCTGCCTGTAAATTATTGGAAAGAAGCAAAAAAAATAGACAATTAAAAAAGTTGTAAAATAGAAAAAGGAAAAAAAATTGTTTCAATCATGATCTATATGTTCTTTTTTGTGAAGCACCTTATCTACCTAGAAAACACATATCCCTAGTGATATGTGTTCCCCCACCTGGTTAACACATATCCTTAGTGATATGAGTTCCCGTACCTGGGAAACACATATCCCTAGTGATATGCATTCCCCCACCTGGCAAACATAATTATATCCCTAGTGATATATGTTCCCCTAACTGGGAAACAAATATCCCTAGTGATATGTGTTCCCCACACTAGCAAACACATATCCCTAGTGATATGTGTTCCCCCACCTGGGAAACATGTATCCCTAGTGATATGTGTTCCCCTACTGGTGAAACCCATATCTCTAGTGATATGCGTTCCTCTCCCTGGGAAACACATATCCCTTGTGATATGTGTTCCCCTACCTGGAAAACACATATCCCTAGTGATATGTGTTCCCTACCTGAGAAACACATATCCCTAGTGATATGTTTTCCCCTACCTGGGAAACACATATCCCTAGTTATATGTGTTCCCCTACCTGGGAAACACATATCCCTAGTTATATGTGTTCCCCTACCTGGGAAACACATATCCCTAGTGATATGTGTTCCCCTACCTAGGAAACACATATCCCATATGTGTTCCCCTACCAGCGAAACACATTTCCCTAGTGATATGTCCGCTACTCGTGAAACTCATTTCTCTAGTGATATACGTTCCTCACCCTGGGAAAGACATATCCCTAGTGATATGGGTTCCCTACCTGGGAAACACATATCCCTTGTGATATGTGTTCCCCTAGCTGAAAAACACATATCCCTAGTGATATGTGTTCCTTTACCTGGGAAACAGTTATCCCTAGTAATATGTGCTTGCCCACCTGGGAAACATACATCCCTAGTGATATGTGTTCCCTACCTGGGAAACACATATCCCTAGTCATATGTGTTCCTCTAACTGGGAAACACATATCCCTAGTGATATGTGTTCCTCTAACTGGGAAACAAATATCCCTAGTGATATGTGTTCCCCCAACTAGCAAACACTTATCCCTAGTGATATGTGTTCCCCCACCTAGGAAACACGTATCCCTAATGCTATGTGTTCTCCTACTCATGAAACCCATTTCTCCAGTGATATACGTTCCTCTCCCTGGGAAACACATATCCCTTGTGATATGTGTTCCCCTAGCTAAAAAACACATATCCCTAGTGATATGTGTTCCTTTACCTGGGAAACAGTTATCCCTAGTAATATGTGCTTGCCCACCTGGGAAACATACAACCCTTAGTGATATGTGTTCCCCTACCGGGGAAACACATATCCCTAGCGATATGTGTTCCCCTACCTGGAAACACATATCCCTAGTTATATCTGTTCCCGTACCTGGGAAACACATATCCCCAGTGATATGTGTTCCCCTACCGGGGAAACACATATCCCTAGCGATATGTGTTCCCTTACCTGGGAAACACATATCCCTAGTTATAACGGTTCCCCTACCTGGGAAACACATCTCCCTAATGATATGTGTTCCCTACCTGGAAAACACATATCCCTAGTGATATGGGTTCTGCCACCTGGGAAACACATATCCCTAGTGATATGTGTTCCCAACCCTGGGAACACATATCCCTAGTGATATGTGTTCCCCACCTGGAAAACCAATATCCCTTGTGATATGTTTTCCCCTACCTGGGAAACACATTTCCCTAGTGATATGTGTTCCCCCACCTGGCAAGACATATCCCTAGTGATATGTGTTCCCTACCTAGGAAACACATATCCCTAGTGCTATGTGTTCCTCCACCTGGAAAACACATATCCCTAGTGATATGTGTTCTTCTACATGGGAGACAGATATCCCTAGTGATATGTGTTCCCCCACCTGGGAAACACATATACCTAGTGATATGTGTTCCCTACCTTGGGAACACATATCCCTAGTGATATGTGTTCCCCCACCTGGAAAACCCATATCCCTTGTGATATGTTTTCCCCTTCCTGGGAAACACATATCCCTAGTGATATGTGTTCCCCTAGCTGGAAAACACATATCCCTAGTGATATGTGTTCCCTACCTGGTAAACACATATCCCTAGTGATATGTGTTCCTTTACCTGGGAAACAGTTATCCCTAGTAATATGTGTTCCCCCACCTGGGAAACACATATCCCTAGTTATATGTATTCCCCTACCTGGGAAACACATCTCCCTAATGATATGTGTTCCCTACCTGGAAAACACAAATCCCTAGCGATATGTGCTCCCCTACATGGGAAACAGATACTTATTCCTTGTGATATGTGTTCCCCTACCTGGGAAACACATATCCCTAACGATATGTGTGGCCCCACCTGGGAAACACGTATGCTGGTGATATGTGTTCCCCTACCTGGGAAACACATATCTCTGGTGATATGTGTTTCCCCACCTCGGAAACATATATTCCTATTATTGATACATACTGTTGCATTGTTGCAGGCCTATAGTGTTCAGTATGGATGGCGACTCCACCTATGAAGCCGACTTTGTTCTGGCAACGTTAGTGGATCATGATTCATCCCTGCCGCCCTCACAAGCGTCAGTGACAGCATCAGCTAACACTTCAACTAAAAGCGCCACCTCTAAAGACAAGCTGGCCAAGAGGTGAGAAGGCCTTCACATTACGCTCACAGAGGAATCCGATCACCTCACAACTAGACCATCTCACCATCAACATTATCGCCACCAAGAAATAGACTCGTCTCCTCTTAAATAATTGACACACTTACACAGGGTAATAGCTGCTTTGAAACTTGGGATTTCGGTCAAGACAGACAGATCTGTGAACAAGGTTGGTGGCGAATCAACTTCTTGGTGGCAATTTTCTTGGTGGCAAGGTGGTCTGGTGGCGAGATGACAGGAAACCCTCACAGCAATCACCATATGCAGTTGTATGGCAACAGACACAACTTGCGTTTCTTATGACCAGGGAAATCAGTTACAGTAAAAATACACGCAAATTTGCGTGTAGTAAGGCTGCGTATAAGAACTCGTTACACGCGTGTATTTTGCATGTTGCGTGCGTGTAAATTCATCATATTGCGCGCATTTTACGCGCCTGTAATTCTGCAATTCCTGCGGCCTGTGCTGTACATAGTAGTCCTATAAATAGTAGTCTTGTAAATAGTCTAATTGGACAAACTACGTTAGGAAACAAAAGCGCTATGGTCTCTGATTATCATGTCAATAACAGACTGAGAAATGTAGGAAGATTGTTTCGAAGTTTCCTACCGAGTATTTTTTCGTTTAATCGTACATTCTTTTTCCGAGTTTCATATATAAAATCGCTCAAGCCCATGTCCTGCTAATCAAAGATACCCGAATCCCGTTCTTGTTTTCATGTGAAATACTGCAAAGTGAATCCCAGCAGCCGCATTCAAATCGGCCAAATCTCGATTAGATATACCGGAAAAACTACGGAGGACCCCTCCTAATAGTGGTTAGCATCAAAAATCAAAAAGATGAAATGTCTTAAATGTTACTCAATTCCACCTCCTATGTTCTGTTAGAAGTGCTCCGCTAAAGTGTGGAATATTGATGAAGGTAAATGAAAAAATGATGGTCTCCATCTGTTGAAGACTCTTAAAGCAGGACTCACTACTGAAATTAAATTGTCAATTCTTTATTGTGTACATGAACCTCTTTAAACATTTGAAACTATTTAACATCTTTGGAACTTCGTTAATCTTCATCCTTGTCTGTATTGTACTAGTGAATGATCAACAATGAACCTTCGAATTCTTCAGTGAGTTCCACTTACATTGAAATTTTATTCTTGAAAATGAAATACAAAAATCAGAATACGTTAAAAATAGATCGGATTCTTTGGCTAGAAAATGTGTTCAACTAATTTTCGCGCTGAAAGCCACTGGCTAAAGTAACTGCCGCTAAAAAGTCGTCGGCCGAGTAGCGAGATTTAACGCAGGGTGCCTGGAACTGTTCTTCGTAGCTGAACGAGGGGGAAGCACTGCAACTGAACGGCGGGCTCACTGAAGCTGATACACGCGGACCAAGTAATACGCTGACAGTTTGTGAACCTTGTGAAGCGACGGGCGCCATATTGTCATAGAAGGATAGGAAGGAAGGGCTGCTGGTAAATGGCGGGAAAAATGGCTCACGTGATCTGAAGGGTGCCGGCTGTAGGGACGGCTGGAAAGTGGCAAGCGACGGCTGGAACATGTGTGGGATACTGACTTCACTTCTAAGGTCCTTGGCAGGTTTATTTTTTAAGCTTTTGCGCCATCTTGAACGGCGATTCTGGAACCAGACCTAAAAGTGAAAATAAAACGTCAGGAAAAGCAGTACCCAACTAAGTCACTTAACCAAAAATAAACACTTAACTTCTGCAAAAAAAAAATTAAAATGCACTGATAGTTAGTTCAACACTTGACGTTCCAAAGGGCGAAAAATCAAACCAAGTGGTTAATTCCATTTGAATGGTCACATTCAACATTCAACATTTTATATAAAAAGTTCAATTCAATTATTATAGCTTATCCCAGACTGGTAAATGTGACGATTTTCTTTGTTAGTTACATGGTTATAAGAGAATAATAATCAACGGAGATTTTTGTAAAGTAAAGGAATTGAGAAATGACATCTTGAAAACCCTACCAACGCTTTCTTTTATCAATAGGCATTCTCATTCGGTCGTTTCGGTACGAACTCAAGCAGTGAAATCGCATAAAAATTTTGTTCTCTTCAAGTATAGCTTTCGCGTGAACACCAAACACATTTTGGATAAATATTCTTCGTTCTTCAAGCCAAGGACCTGAAACTGTTTACACCTCGACTGAATAAACTTGTATCGAAACGACCAGTAACGTTTGTGTATTTACTCAGATGAAATTCATATATTTGTGTACAAACATCTTACCTGGATTCTGTCTTCTCCGATGTTAAGCTCCTGCGCAAGTTCTTCCCTAATCTGGATTCCTGGGAATCTTTCTTGTTCAAACGACTGCTCTAAACGATCAAGTTGCTGGTCTGTAAAAGCAATTCTGCGGCGTCTTTTGCGCTGAGCGTCACCTGGAAATTAACAAGAAAGTCGTGTTTAGTTGTGATAACTAGCTCCTTTTAAAAGCTGGTGTAGTTAAATGTCAAGGAAGTCTCGGAATATAAACGTCATTAGAATGTCTCGCAAAGTGTGGAATTTACAATTCTTCAACGGAGTGCTTAAGCTTAACGGAGACTGAATTTTCGTGGATAAATTGATTTTGACTTGATTCGATTGATCTCTGTAATGTCTTTCGTCTTATGTTTGATTATGATGCGTAATATTTTATCAGAACATAAAGTGTAGATGAAACTTTAAGAGCTGATTTTATATCATGAAAATTTTCAAAACGTTTTTCAAGAATATGAAGTTTCACAATATTACTATGATGCGCGCGAGTTTTGCACGCTTTTCACTTAAAGTTGATTAAACCCGTTTGTCGTCTCTACGTTGACCAAGAAGAACTGCCAATTAAATTCCGAAGATATGAATTTAGAAAATGAGATTCTATAACTTACGTTCTTCCTCTGGAGCTGGTCTTTTCAAGTTCGCTCTTGAAGCCATCGGTGTTCGTAAAATTTCGCACTGTGCTTAGGTGAATCTTTGAACGACAAGTGTTGTTTACAAGTCAAACTGAAAGGATGAATGATCGTTTGAAATATTGACTTCTTTATATACCTGGTTCCGTGACGCTTGATGATGATTCGTGGGTGGCAGAATAAACCAGTTTAACAATAAACATTTTAGCGTCTTTATTAGTAAGTTACTTCGCACCTCTATTGTTTGATCACTTGTGAGGCTTAGCTTTTGTCTCCATTGTTAAAATAAGATGTCAAGTACTTGTGAAACAATTTGATGAAATCAAAGCTTTTGGAATAAATTAGGTGAATCTCCGCCTCATTGACTTAATGCTTATTTTCACTGTCGATCCGTTAAGTAAAGAAATTTTATAATAAAATCTGAGGAGTACATGTTTTCAACCGTTACGACGCGTGCCACTTTACAGGTCACGCTTATATAAGTGATATGGATGGAGCTAACTTTTATTGTGTTTAAAAGTTATCTCCGGGTGTGCGCCTCTGGAAGTCCGAAAAATTTTTGGATCTTTTTCTTGAAATTAGCCCGCTCTTGGCGACTCGAATTGTTATGCGGTCTCATTTCATCGACCATTTGCGCGTCGTTGTTAGCTTTCGTGTCCGTTTATGCTTGCGCGCTCTCGTTAACTTTTGTGCGCTTAATTTGATACTCGTGCGCACACTGTTGAATCTTGTGCGTCGGAGTTTGATTCTTGCGCGTTTTAGTTGTGGTCTCATTCATTGTTGTTTAATCTTTTTAAAAGCCATTGGTGAAGCCGGCATCTTATTTTGCAGTGAGTGGGAAAACAAAACTTGACAAAATTAACGCGTTATCGCTTGATTAATATACATCGCTTCTCGAATCGTTTGTGTGACTGCAGCTTGTTAAGTGTTGTATGGTAAGGTTGAATTAAAATTGTGTAGCTCATAAGTGGCAGAGTAATTTAATCAAGAAACCTTGGAAGTGAATTTGACTTTTTTTCTTTACTGTGCGTCTTATCCTTTGCACTTGTTTATCTGGAGGTAAATTGGTGAAGGCCGTTGATGACTAATGCCTTTTATAAAGTTCTCAAAATACAGGGCGCATCAGCAGCGGGCGCAATGATTCGATAAGGTGCAAAAATCACTGTGAAGTTGGAAAACTTCAATCATTGACGAATTGGCTGCGATGACGTGTAATTCGGGTTTCAATGCGATCGCGCCTCTCTTTTTGGGTGGCTCCTGGTCGAGTGCATTCAAAGTTCCATCAGACTTTTGCATAGCCTGTGTACAGTGAGGGGATGTCTGTTATACATGGGCTAACCTTTGCATTTTTGCTCATGCAAAATTTTCCTATTTTAAAGCATTACTTGAATTCATATATAAAATCGCTGAAGCCCGTATCCCGCGCTAATCATCGATACCCGAATCCCGTTCTTGTTTTCATGTGAAATACTGCGATGTGAGTCCCAGCAGCCGCATTCAAATATGCGAAAAAACTACGGACGACCCACCCACCCCACCCCCTCCCCATAATGGTTAGCATCAAATATCAAAAAGATGAAATGTCTTGAATTTTACTCAATTCCACCTCCTGTGTTCTGTTAGAAGCGCTCCGCTCAAGTGTGGAATATTGATGACGGTGTTAAAAGTTAATTAAAATTAACTCTTGTCTCGGCGAAATGATGGTCTCGATCGGTTGAAGACTCTAAAAGCGGGACTCACTCACTACTGAAAAAAAATTGTCAATTCTTTATTGTGTACATGAGCCTCATAAAAATTTTGAAACTATTTAACATCCTTTGAACACCATTAATCTTCATCCTTTTTGTATCGTGCTAGTGAATGATCAGCAATGGACCTTCGAATTCTTGAATGATTTACAAGTACATTGAAATCTTATTCCTTAAAATGAAATACAAAAATCAGATACGTTAAAAATACATCCGATGCTAAGGCTAGAAAATGCGTTCAACTAATTCTCGCGCTGAAAGCCACTGGCTAAAGTAACTGCCGCTAAAAAGTCGTCGGCCGAGTAGCGAGATTTAACGCAGGGTGCCTGGAACTGTTCTTCGTAGCTGAACGAGGGGGAAGCACTGCAACTGAACGGCGGGCTCACTGACGCTGATACACGCGGACCAAGTAATACGCTGACAGTTTGTGAACCTTGTGAAGCGACGGGCGCCATATTGTCATAGAAGGATAGGAAGGAAGGGCTGCTGGTAAATGGCGGGAAAAATGGCTCACGTGATCTGAAGGGTGCCGGCTGCAGGGACGGCTGGAAAGTGGCAAGCGACGGCTGGAACATGTGTGGGATACTGACTTCACTTCTAAGGTCCTTGGCAGGTTTATTTTTTAAGCTTTTGCGCCATCTTGAACGGCGATTCTGGAACCAGACCTAAAGGTGAAAATAAAACGTCAGGAAAAGCAGTACCCAACTAAGTCATTAACCAAAAATAAACACTTAACTTCTGCTAAAAAAAATGAAAATGCACTGATAGTTAGACAAAAAGTTGAACTCTTGACTTCCCGAAGGGCGAAAAATCAAACCAATTGGTTAATTCCATTTGAATGGTTACACTCTAACATTTTATTTAAAAAGTCTAATTCAATTATTATAGCTAATCCCAAACTGGTATGTGTGACGATTTTCTTTGTTAGTTGCATGTTTATAAGAGAATAATAATCAACGGAGATTTTTGTAAAGTAAAGGAATGAGAAATGACATCTTGAAATCCCTACCAACACTTTCTTGTATCAATAAGCATTCTCATTCGGTCGTTTTGATACCAACTCAAGCAGTGAAATCGCACAATAATTTTGTTCTCTTCAAGTATAGTTTTCGCGTGAACACCAACCACGTTTTGGATAAATATCCTTCGTTTCTTAAGCCAAGGACGTGAAACTGTTTACACCTCGACTGAATAAACTTGTATCGAAACGACCAGTAACGGTTGTGTGTATTTACTCAGTTGAAATTCATGTATTTGTGAACAAACATCTTACCTGGATTCTGTCTTCTCCGATGTTAAGCTCCTGCGCAAGCTCTTCCCTAATCTGGATTCCTGGGAATCTTTCTTGTTCAAACGACTGCTCTAAACGATCAAGTTGCTGGTCTGTAAAAGCAGTTCTGCGGCGTCTTTTGCGCTGAGCGTCACCTGGAAATTAACAAGAAAGTCGTGTTCAGTTGTGACAACTAGTTCCTTGTAAAAGCTAGTGTAGTTAAACGTCAAGGAAGTTTCGGAATATAAACGTCATTAGAATGTCTCGCAAAGTGTCGAATTTACAATTCTTCGACGACGTGCTTAAGCTTAACGGAGACTGAATTTTGGCGGTTAAATTGATTTTGACTTAGTTCGATTGATCTCTGCAATGTCTTTCGTCTTATGTTTGATTATGATGCGTAAAATTTTATCAGAACCTAAACTGTAGATGAAACTTTAAGAGCTGATTATATATCATGAAAAGTTTCAAAACATTTTACAAGAATATAAAGTTTTGCAATAATACTATGATGCTCGCGAGTTCCGCACGCTTTTTACTTAAGTTGATTAAACTCGTAAGTCGTCTCTTAAGTTGACCCAGAAACTGCAAATTTAATTCCGAAGGTATGAATTGAGAAAATGAGATTCTATAACTTACGTTCTTCCTCTGGAACTGGTCTTTTCAAGTTCGCTCTTGAAGCCATAGTTGTTCGTAAAATTTCGCACTGTACTTGGGTGAATCTTGTAACGAAAAGTGTTGTTTACAAGTCAAACTGGAAGGATGAATGATCGTTTGAAATATTGACTTCTTTAGATAGGTAGTTCCGTGACGCTTGATGATGATTCGTGGGCGGCAAAATAAACCATTTTAACAATAAACATGTTAGTGACTTTATTAGTAAATTACCTCGCTCCTCTATTGTTTGATTACTTGTGAGGCTTGGCTTTTGTCTCCATTGTTGAAATAAGATGTCAAGTACCTGTGAAACAAATTGATGAAATCAAAGCTTTGGAATAAATTTTGTGAAACTCCGCCTCATTGAGTTGATGCGTATTTTCACTCCCGATCCGTTAAGTAAAGAAATTTTATAATAAAATCTGCGGAGTACATGTTTTCAACTGTTAACACGCGTGCCACTTTACAGGTCACGCTTTATATATAAGTGATGTGGATTGATTTCAATTTATTGCGTTTAAAAATTGTCGCTCGTTGTGCGCCTGTGGAAGTCCCGAAAATTCTTTAGATCTTTTTATTGAAATTGATCCGCTCTAAGTATAAGTAACCATTCCGCGCTCTTGGCGACTCGAATTGTTATGTGATCTCGTTTCATCGACCATTTGCGCGTTGTTATTAGCTTTCGTGTCCGTTTATGCTTGCGCGCCCTCGTTAACTGTCGCGCGCTCAATTTGATACTCGTGCACACACTGTTGAATCTCGTGCGTTGGAGTTTGATTCTCGCGCGCTTTCGTTGCGGTTTCATTCGCTGTTGTTTAATCTTTTTAAAAAGCATCGATGAAGCCGGCGTCTTATTTTGCAGTAAGTGGGCAAACAAAACGTTACAAAATTAATCCGTTACCGCTTGATTAATATACATTGCTTCTCGAATCGTTTGTTTGACTGCAGCTTGTTAAGTGTCGTATTTTATTAATTGCCTTAAGATTGCTCTAAGGTTGAATTAAAATTGTGAAGCTCAAAAGTGGCAGAGTAATTTAATCAAGAAACCTTGGAAGTGAATTTGACTTTTTTTTTCTTTACTGTGCGTCTTATCGTTTGCACTTGTTTATCTGGAGGTAAATTGGTGAAGGCTGTAGATGACAAAGTTCTCAAAGTACAATTAGCATCAGCAGCGGGCGCAAACTAGAATGCGAATCCTTTTCCCAGTTATATTTTCTTGTTGTCATTGAGTGCTGGTTCAAATTTCCCAAATGCCTCGTATTGCTCTTTGCGTGCAGTGAAGGAAGTAGAAAACGTCTACGCGCAGGTCTCCTTTCTCTCCCCGCTGTTGCGTCTTCTCTTGCGTGCTACTCGCGCGCATACTTTTCACGATATCCCCAAAACGGAGAGCTTGCTCGTAGGTTAACGCTTAGGCGAGGGACTTCTCTTGTTACAAGGAGAAAGGACAACAACAAAAGCGTTTAGTATTAACAGGACGTGTTTTTCTTCACAGTTCTGCGAAAACGAAAACGGTGCAACGGAAGGCAACTGCTACAACACATAACAACACTGACGCGACAGAAAACGTTCGTGAAAGAGACGCTGTTAACAACCATGAACAGGATGATGCAATGTTTAATGATGATGACGATGACGACTTGGATATTTCTGAGATCGATCACGTGTTACAGGGCAAAGCTCCATTGTCATCACCTAATACTCGAGAACAGGAAAGCAAAGGCACAAATCGTAAAACTACGAAAACAGAACAAAAACCGGCAAGCCAAAGGTATGGGTGATGTATTTCAGTGTAATAACCCTCTTCATTTTCTATGAAATAAGTCCAAAAATATTATCACCAGCTTTTGGTGAAGTAGGCTTCATAGCAGGCACATGAGACGTTTACAAACTAAGACAGTGGTCGCGACGGAGGACGACGCGCGTGTGTCCTTGGCCCTCGCGCCTATCGCTTAACTCGTGCCCGCACTTGTGCGTCATCTATGTAGGCTGCTAGTGTACTTTTCAGTTGTGTTATAATTTCGCAAAAGCTTCGCTGTTTGAGTAGCTAAAGAGTCTGGCGTCAATTTCTCAGCCAATCAGGTGTTAGACCTTAAGCAAACGCAACTTGCTCAGTAAAGTGCTGCTGTTCTTTCCTTTAGTGGCTTTCATTCTTATTCCGCACAAAGTAGTAGGCTTAAGCGAGAAGACAAGTTTTTAACATACATAATCATGTGTAACAGTAGCGTCTTCTTTTCGGTCCTAAAGTTTGAGTGAAAGGACAAAGAGGATCTTACTGAAGTTAGTGGAGTGATCAGTGCTGTCATTTCAGTCATATTTCCAACGAATACAATAGAACCTGTCAATATATAACGACCCTGTATTAAGCAGCCACTTTTCAGCGTCCTGATTTTTTGCCTTTGTAGTCTGTGTATTTTTTCCCGGCAGTGTTCAATGGAGCCTTCTCGCCTTGTATCAAGCGACCAACCTTAAGCTGAAATCTCAAGCCTACATGTCATTTTATGCGGCATTTTACTGTGTTTCAGACGCGTCCATCGTCACTATAAAAATAACAAAGCTACTGTTTGTTTTATATTTTACCGTACATTTCCTTCGCACCTTTGAACTGTAAGTCATCGCCCCGCCCGGGTTTGCTTGAATGTACAGTGGAACCCCATTTAACGAACCTCTATTTAACGAAGTCTTCGATGTAACGAACTATTTTTTTACCCCATAAAACATATGGAAAAGAACCTCGATAATGTAACGAAACCTTGTTATAGCGAACGAATTTTGCCAGCGCCTTGGCCTTTTGTTATATCGAGGTTCCACAGTAGTGTTGTTGTTTGATACGCTCATTACAATCGGCATTTGACCACGCCCCTCGATTCTTTTAAATGACCCTTTTTTAAACTGCCTATTTCCTAGGTTGGTCGTTATACGAAAGGTTCTACTATACCAAACGATCTCTCTATTTTTGGAAATAAGAGAACAGTCCAATCTGAGTGGCACTTTTCCGCCTAAAATACTCATTAAGCTATACTATGCGCAGAGTCCTTTACAGTGACTCTTGATTATATTTTTCTGATGTGACAGAAGTGTAGACGCAAATAAAAGTTCCGTTCTGGATGACTTCTTCAGCGATTCCTTTCCCTATCAAGGTAAGAACAATATCAGAAAACTAATCGTAAAATATTACCCTCTTATTTCCACGGCTTACATAGCAAGATTTTTGAGTCACAACGTTTGTTATACACCCACGCTGAATAAAGCGCACTAAAAGTTGCTGAACGCACTGAAATGGCCGAACGCTAAATGCAGTAGACCACGCTAAGATGCACACAAGTCCCAGAGCATGATGGATCTTGGTACATGCGCATCTCGCACACACCGCTGGCCAGCAAGGTGAAACAAGCGCTCCTTGTTGTTAACTCTGTTAAATTGCATTTAACTGCATTAAATTCAGACCCAATTTTTGTTGGGGTGCTTTTTTTGCAGAGTTGTTTACCACTGGAAGAAAGGAACTGTCAGTCATTCACGAGGCCAGTCAGGAGACCGCTGACACCTCTACGTATCCTTTATGTATATTTAGTAATTAATGGATCGCCTTTCATATGATCTGAATAATTATATAGATCGAGCAAGGCGGATAACACCCTTCGATATTTCTTTGCAAAACGTGTGGAATGTTCGGCCATTTCCTGCCGTTGTTCCAAAACAATGCAACCTCGTCCCCAGGCAGGGTCTCTCGGTTGGGGTCCCTTTTTCTGGCGATTACCCTGTACAATTGACGTCATTTTCCGAATATGGGTAACGTCTTCCAAATTTGATCAACGATACAAGCTGGAAACAGAGAAATATTTTGAATGAATAATAATCTGTATATAGAGTTAAAGGAGGGGACTGGTTGATACCAACATAGGTGTTCGTTGAAACAGAGTGGACTGTACATTCACCAGGGAGCGAGCAGCTTCCATATTCTCGTATCACGATGCATTCACCAACCAGTATATTTTTAGAACGGTTTTGTTGCGATTTTAGAGTATATTTCAAGTCCCACAAACCAGACAGCAAAACTGACCTGCAGACCTGAAAATGCATGGTATTTCTGACCTTTTAATGATCAATTTTCCTTTTTCATGCGCGCTCACAGACGGAGCGGGGTTTCCATTTCCGCGTGAAAATAAACCAGTCCGTGTAAATGCCGTGACGTAGGCCTAATATGGTGGTTGCTCTCTGCGGCTTTTGGTCTCGTGAAATTTGCTTCGATTTTCTCTTGTTGTCTTCCTTAACATTTTGTTAGCCATGGCAGTGCTAAGCCAATACAGACTCCATCCAGTTCTGTAACAGGTATGACAGTTTTAATACAACCGATTACACAACTGAAAGACCTCGGTATTACGAATGATGATCTTCGCCTCAGCGATAGTAAAATATGTGGGAAAAATTCGATTCATTATATCGCGATTCCGCTGTAGTTTTGTTTCATGTAGCTGAACAAACTTTAACTAACTGCCGCTAATTCCTTTAACCCCCCAAATATATGCTATTTCCTTCTTTTTGTCTTTCAAAGAGCCATCAATTCAGTAACCATTTAACTTACAACTCTGAAAACAAATTCGTCATTGTTATTTATTACATCTTCTCCGTTTTCTACAGAGGTCTCGTTTCTGAAGAACGTGGACATGGTAAGAATCAGATAGCGATAAGAAATTTGGGGTCATGTTTTAATTAGTACAAAATTTTGCCAAAGTATAGACCTCGTGGGTAAAACTTAGCAGATATTCCTTTAGCTGGCGTACAGATCCCCCCCTCCCCTCGGGAAAAATCGGAGAAGGGGCTCTTCACCGATTTTTTCTGAGGGGAGTGGGGTCTGTACGCGGGCTGATATTCCTTATATAGCCGTTGTCGTAGCCGTAAGGGCGGCAGAATGCATCCCGTCCCCACACCCCGTCATCTCACATTTCTCACATTTACACTCGTGTCCAATCCGTGCGTTCATGTGAAGGTTGTGAACGGTCTTGTAACCTTTCTTCTCTCGTGATACTGCTCTCTGAAGAAGGGCTACTAGCACTTGAAAAGTATGTTTTAAGGTGGTAAATTCACCTTATCTAGGGGCACCCATTCGACGCTTCCCTCCTAAATACAATGAGAGGAATAATTGTTTAGTAAAATCCAACTAGCTGGTCAAAAATATCGAGAAAAAACAACTTTAGCTAGCAAAACGCGATTCAGCCGCTATTGTTTTGGTTTTCAAAGCCGGCGCTTTTCGCTACTAGTGGGCTATAAAATATAGCCTAGTAGTAGCTCAACCAATCAGAATGCAGCATTGATAATAGAACACTAGTTGGATTTTACTGGAGTACTTTTAGGCCTCTAGAAATGAATGTATTCTAAGCAGCGCTGTAACATTTTGATCTGTTCGGTCATCCTTATCGAATTTAGTTGGGCTTAAGTGCTATTGAAGTCTAAAAATTTTGCTTCAATTTAACGGTTCATAAAGGTGAGAATGTTTGTGATTTTTCTCTCTCACATCTTCGAATCCGAAAATTTTAGATTGCCTTTTTCTACGATTGATAGTGAAATGTGAAAAATTTAACTTCCAAAAAATCCTAGGGAGATTAGTAAACGGTCATCTAGAAAATTTTAACCGTCCTTCTGCTATAGAAAATCTAGACAATATTCACTTCTTCGTACAGATACCGTAAAATTCCGATAATAAGCCCCGGGGCTTGTATTTTTCAAAGGCCCTATTGAGGGGCTTATTTTTACAGGGGCTTATATTCGGAGGGGCTTATGTACGGAGGGAAATTTGCGTTTCAGAATCGATTGTGCTAGCTTGTAGTGGGAAGGAAATTTGCCATTTTTGCTTTGTTTTACTTTGAATTTGAGAGCAAATTCCATGTACAAGCCCCCCGGGGTGCTTATATTCGGAGGGGCGATTTAACGGAGGGTTTTTTGCGTTACAATTTGGAGGGGCTTATTTTCGGAATTTTCGGAATTTTACGGTATTTAACAAAAAACAGTCGTGTGGTGCCCGTTCTTGTCGACGTAGCCACTAAAAACGAAGTTTGATAGTTCATACGCTCCATCTCTCACTAACTTTTCATTATGACTGCTCTTATCCTGTTAGCCCTCTCTAGGAACCAGCAGTTGTACAAGCCCTGATGCTAAATCACAAAACATAAGCGGACAAAAGAAGACAAGAAAACATGAACCGGATCCTGAAGAAAGCTTCATGGAGGTAGAGGCTAATGATGACTATGACTTCATTCCAGGGACTCCACCCCACAAAAAGGTGATTCTAGTATACATGCTGTTTCTGGTTAATCTTGCCTTACTACAAACTACCAAAGAGCCTTGGACTGAGATTACTGTAGCCTGTACACGGAAGTTGTTTTATTTTTCTTTTCGTTATTTTCGAATCCCCCGCGGTTTTTGTTTTTATCACGCGCACTCGACGGACTTTGAAGAGAAAATAGAGGGTCTGTGAACAGGCTAAGATAACTGAGGCCTTGAGGCCCTGTTCTGCCCACCGTTTAAAACCCCTCTTAAAAGCCCTTAGTTACAATGATTTTAGGGCGTTTAAGCGGAGTTTTTCGGTAGCTCCTGTTAAATGCGGTTCGCGCAGGTAAAATTTTCTTCATCGTACGTTTATTTTTATTATCCTATTGTCTGTTGTTGACACCGGCTTTCGTTTTGTTGATTTTATTCTTTGCAGTTCAAATCCATGTTTTTCAGCGCTTCAGCAAAGCATGTAAGTATTCCGAGCCCATGTTTTTCTGGTAACAATTCACGTGTACGTGGCAGTTTGTCAGTGACGCGAAAAAGTCTACGCTGCAAATGATTGGATTGGATTGTGTAATCCGTCTGCGTTACTTCGGTTTGCGTATGTTAACTTAAGGGGCGAAATATCGATAATTATCCTGATTACTCTTCTTCGTGGAATGGGAAACACAAATGCGTTTTCCAAAGGTACGCGTTTTTGTCGTCGAAAACGCATCGGTCGATTCGCGTCCACACTACTGTTTCGATGGTTTTCGACCGTCCACACTAAAACGTTCGAAAACGATAGAATTACACGTTGTGACGTAAGTTGAACTCTATGCGCATGCTACAAACATACGCGCCTGTGATATTTTCGGTCATCGTTTTTATTTTGATGCGTTTTCGAACTTTTTTGACCGTCTACACTAGTAAGATATGGGTGAGTTTTCGATGAAAACGCTCAGCGTATTAGTGTGGACGGAAGGCCTAAACGCATCGAAATGTATGCAATATCAAACGAAAACACATTAGTGTGGACGGGGCCTAAGACAGGATGGGATCATCGCTGTGTTTCAAGGCATAGAAGAGTCATAACAATGAATATATGAGTTTGAGACGCAATACTGAATAACCTTGTTGCGTGCTAATATGCCCTCTAGAGCGAAGTAGCAATACTTTTATTCCCCTTCCGCGCTTCTGTGGCAGAAACAGGGCAGTATATTAAACCTTAATACTTGGAACAAATTTGAATAAACAATTCCCTCTTGGAAGTACACATTTAGCTCAACGTCAGAGGGATTACCGGGGAGGAAGTGGTTTCTTCGCTGGAGAACGCCATTTCCAATAATGGACCCATTACTTAATTGTGTTGCCTTTCTTTTAGGACACGTCTCAAGATGTTGTACTTGCGGCCGATAGCGACGAAGACTAACTGGGACAGTTTTACTTTGGCAACACCTCACACATCACGTGTCACCTGATCAAATGGATTGATAAATGTAATTTCCCGCCTAAAACAGCAGATCCTGTTGAACGCCAAGGAACTGCACGGAGATCACCCTTGTGTAAAGTAACCAAAGCTTCCTGAGAATCTACGATGGCATTTGGGTTTTAAAGTACACTTCTCTGGAAACAGCGTTTGTAGTTTCTGTGCATGGCACAAACCAATGCTAAACAGTCGCGTCCTATGCTCACAACCACCCTATTCCTGCTTACAGGGTTATTTAGCGATTTTATGGCGATCTTCTCAATCTAGGCCTATTTTAAATAAAAACAAACAATGAAGAAAGTTCGAAGTTTTGGGTTAACCCCTTTCGAAAATTTCTGATTTTTCGGACATATAAGATACATATTTTTATTGTCTAGAACGGCTTCTTTTCTATCTAGAACATCCCCAAACATCATTTCTAGGCCTATTTTCAATAAAAACAAACCATGAAGAAAGTTCGATTTTTCGACCAAAATCATGGGTTAACCCCTTTTCAAAATTTCCGATTTTTCGGACGTATAAGATACATATTTTTATTGTCTAGAAAGGCTTCTTTTCTACCTAGAACATCCCCAAACATCATTTCTGGGCCTATTTTCAATAGAACCAAACCATGAAGAAAGTAAATTTTTCCACCAAAATCATGGGTTAACCCCTTTTGAAAATTTCCGATTTTTCGGATATAAAAGATACATATTTTTATTGTCTACAAAGGCTTTTTTTCTACCTAGAACATCCCCAAACATCATTTCTGGGCCTATTTTCAATAAAAACAAACAATGAAGAAAGTTGGAATTTTTGACCAAAATCATGGCTTAACCCCTTTGGAAAATTTCCGATTTTTCGGACATATAAGATACATATTTTTATTGTCTAGAAAGGCTTCTTTTCTATCTAGAACATCCCCAAACATCATTTCTGGGCCTATTTTCAATAAAAACAAACAATGAAGAAAGTTCGAATTTTTGACCAAAATCATGGGTTAACCCCTTTGGAAAATTTCCGATTTTTCGGACATATAAGATACATATTTTTATTGTCTAGAAAGGCTTCTTTTCTATCTAGAACATCCCCAAACATCATTTCTGGGCCTGTTTTCAATAAAAACAAACCATAAAGAAAGTTCAATTTTTCAACCAAAATCATGGGTTAACCCCTTTTGAAAATTTCCGATTTTTCGGACATATAAGATACATATTTTTATTGTCTACAAAGCCTTCTTTTCTACCTAGAACATCCCCAAACATCATTTGTGGACCTATTTTCAATAAAAACAAGCAATGAAGAAAGTTGGAATTTTTGACCAAAATCATGGGTTAACCCCTTTGGAAAATTTCCCATTTTTCGGACAGATAAGATACGTATTTTTATTGTCTAGAAAGGCTTCTTTTCTACCTAGAACATCCCCAAACATCATTTCTGGGCCTATTTTCAATAAAAACAAACAACGAAAAAAGTTCGAATGTTTGACCTAAATCATGGGTTAACCCCTTTTGAAAATTTCCGATTTTTTCGGACATATAAGATACATATTTTTATTGTCTAGAAAAGCTTCTTTTCTACCTAGAACATCCCCAAACATCATTTCTGGGCCTATTTTCAATAGAACCAAACCATGAAGAAAGTTCAATTTATCGACCAAAATCATGGGTTAACCCCTTTGGAAAATTTCCGATTTTTCGGACATATAAGATACATTTTTTTATTGTCTACAAAGGCTTTTTTTCTACCTAGAACATCCCCAAACATCATTTCTGGGCCTATTTTCAATAAAAACAAACAATGAAGAAAGTTGGAATTTTTGACCAAAATCATGGGTTAACCCCTTTGGAAAATTTCCGATTTTTCGGACATATAAGATACATCTTTTTATTGTCTAGAAAAGCTTCTTTTCTATCTAGAACATCCCCAAACATCATTTCTGGGCCTATTTTCAATAAAAACAAACAATGAAGAAAATTCGAATTTTTGACTAAAATCATGCGTTAACCCCTTTGGAAAATTTCCCATTTTTGGGACATATAAGATACATCTTTTTATTGTCTAGAAAAGCTTCTTTTCTATCTAGAACATCCCCAAACATCATTTCTGGGCCTATTTTCAATAAAAACAAACCATGAAGAAAGTTCAATTTTTGCACCAAAATCATGGGTTAACCCCTTTGGAAAATTTCCGATTTTTCGGACATATAAGATACATATTTTTATTGTCTACAAAGGCTTCTTTTCTACCTAGAACATCCCCAAACATCATTTCTGGGCCTATTTTCAATAAAAACAAACAATGAAGAAAGTTGGAATTTTTGACCAAAATCATGGGTTAACCCCTTTGGAAAATTTCCGATTTTTCGGACATATAAGATACATCTTTTTATTGTCTAGAAAAGCTTCTTTTCTATCTAGAACATCCCCAAACATCATTTCTGGGCCTATTTTCAATAAAAACAAACAATGAAGAAAATTCGAATTTTTAACCAAAATCATGGCTTAACCCCCTTGGAAAATTTCCCATTTTTTCGGACATATAAGATACATATTTTTATTGTCTAGAAAGGCTTCTTTTCTACCTAGAACATCCCCAAACATCATTTCTGGGCCTATTTTCAATAGAACCAAACCATGAAGAAAGTTCAATTTATCGACCAAAATCATGGGTTAACCCCTTTTAAAAATTTCCGATTTTTCGGACATATAAGATACATATTTTTATTGTCTACAAAGGCTTTTTTTCTACCTAGAACATCCCCAAACATCATTTCTGGGCCTATTTCCAATAAAAACAAACAATGAAGAAAGTTGGAATTTTTGACTAAAATCATGGGTTAACCCCTTTGGAAAATTTCCGATTTTTCGGACATAAAAGATACATCTTTTTATTGTCTAGAAAAGCTTCTTTTCTATCTAGAACATCCCCAAACATCATTTCTCGGCCTATTTTCAATAAAAACAAACAATAAAGAAAGTTCGAATTTTTCACCAAAATCATGGGTTAACCCCCTTGGAAAATTTCCCATTTTTTCGGACATATAAGATACATATTTTTATTGTCTAGAAAAGCTTCTTTTCTACCTAGAACATCCCCAAACATCATTTCTGGGCCTATTTTCAATAGAACCAAACCATGAAGAAAGTTCAATTTATCGACCAAAATCATGGGTTAACCCCTTTGGAAAATTTCCGATTTTTCGGACATATAAGATACATTTTTTTATTGTCTACAAAGGCTTTTTTTCTACCTAGAACATCCCCAAACATCATTTCTGGGCCTATTTTCAATAAAAACAAACAATGAAGAAAGTTGGAATTTTTCACCAAAATCATGGGTTAACCCCTTTGGAAAATTTCCGATTTTTCGGAAAAGCTTCTTTTCTATCTACAACATCCCCAAACATCATTTCTGGGCCTATTTTCAATAAAAACAAACAATGAAGAAAGTTCGAATTTTTCACCAAAATCATGGGTTAACCCCTTTGGAAAATTTTCAATTTTTCGGACATATAAGATAAACATTTTTATTATCTACAAAGGCTACTTTTCTATCTACAACATCCCCAAACATCATTTCTGGGCCTATTTTCAATAAAAACAAACAATGAAGAAAGTTCGAATTTTTCACCAAAATCATGGGTTAACCCCTTTTGAAAATTTCCGATTTTTTGGACGTATAAGATACGTATTTTTATTGTCTAGAAAGGCTTCTTTTCTACCTAGAACATCCCGAAACATCATTTCTGGGCCTATTTTCAAAAAAAACAAACAATGAAGAAAATTCGAATTTTTCACCAAAATCATGGCTTAACCCCGTTGGAAAATTTCCGATTTTTCGGACATATAAGACACATATTTATATTGTCTAGAAAGGCTTCTTTTCTATCTAGAACATCCCCAAACATCATTTCTGGGCCTGTTTTCAATAAAAACAAACAATGAAGAAAGTTGGAATTTTTGACCAAAATCATGGGTTAACCCCTTTTGAAAATTTCCGATTTTTCGGACATATAAGATACGTATTTTTATTGTCTAGAAAGGCTTCTTTTCTACCTAAAACATCCCCAAACATCATTTCTGGGCCTATTTTCAATAAAAACAAACAGTGAAGAAAGTTCGAATTTTTCAACAAAATCATGGGTTAACCCCTTTGGAAAATTTCCGATTTTTCGGACATATAAGATACATCTTTTTATTGTCTAGAAAAGCTTTTTTTCTATCTAGAACATCCCCAAACATCATTTCTGGGCCTATTTTCAATAAAGACAAACAATGAAGAAAATTCGAATTTTTCACCAAAATCATGGCTTAACCCCTTTGGAAAATTTCCGATTTTTCGGACATATAAGATACATATTTTTATTGTCTAGAAAGGCTTCTTTTCTATCTAGAACATCCCCAAACATCATTTCTGGGCCTGTTTTCAATAAAAACAAACAATGAAGAAAGTTCGAATTTTTGACCAAAATCATGGGTTAACCCCTTTTGAAAAGTTCCGATTTTTCACACATATAAGATACGTATTTTTATTGTCTAGAAAGGCTTCTTTTCTACCTAAAACATCCCCAAACATCATTTCTGGGCCTATTTTCAATAAAAACAAACAATGAAGAAAGTTCGAATTTTTCACCAAAATCATGGGTTAACCCCTTTGGAAAATTTCCGATTTTTCGGACATATAGGATACATCTTTTTGTTGTCTAGAACGGCTTCTTTTCTATCTAGAACATCCCCAAACATCATTTCTGGGCCTATTTTCAATAAAAGCAAACAATGAAGAAAGTTGGAATTTTTGACCTTAATCATGGGTTAACCCCTTTGGAAAATTTCCGATTTTTCGGAAAAGCTTCTTTTCTATCTAGAACATCCCCAAACATCATTTCTGGGCCTATTTTCAATAAAAACAAACAATGAAGAAAGTTCGAATTTTTGACCAAAATCATGGGTTAACCCCTTTGGAAAATTTCCGATTTTTCGGACATATAAGATACATCTTTTTGTTGTCTAGAACGGCTTTTTTTCTATCTAGAACATCCCCAAACATCATTTCTGGGCCTATTTTCAATAAAAACAAACAATGAAGAAAGTTCGAATTTTTCACCAAAATCATGGGTTAACCCCTTTGAAAAATTTTCAATTTTTCGGACATATAAGATAAACATTTTTATTATCTAGAAAGGCTTCTTTTCTATCTAGAACATCCCCAAACATCATTTCTGGGCCTATTTTCAATAAAAACAAACAATGAAGAAAGTTCGAATTTTTTACCAAAATCATGGCTTAACCCCTTTGGAAAATTTTCGATTTTTCGGACATAAAAAATACGTATTTTTATTGTCTAGAAAAGCTTCTTTTCTACCTAGAACATCCCCAAACATCATTTCTGGGCCTATTTTCAATAAAAACAAACAACGAAGAAAGTTGGAATTTTGACCAAAACCTTAATCATGGGTTAACCCGATTTTTTGGAAAATTTCCGATTTTTCGGAAAAGCTTCTTTTCTATCTAGAACAT